GGACAACACACTGGATGCATTCAGTGGAATGCACTGGGCGTACATTGCCCCCGCAGCAGCATTTGCTCTAGTCTACTACCTGATCTTCCCTGCCTGGCTCATTCAGAAGACCAAGAGAGAGATTCTGACATCTAGTGCTGATCGCCATGAAGGTTATTTACAGTTGAAGGAGACAGAGTATGTTCAGGGCCTTGATGTGCTGTGGATGGTCAGTGGGTTTCACATCTTCTCATCCTTCAAGAGAGTTTCAGTATACTTCCGTCCTGCTCTCCATATCTGCAAGTTCATGTTGCTGGCTCTCTATGCTGGGCTGTACAGGTACCTGTTTTGGCAGGCTGTGGTCACTACATCAATTCTGTTTGGAATGCTGTTTTTCTTTGTGTTCTGGAGACCATACAGAGTGTCGGCATTTAACTTCATGCTGATCATGAGCTTCCTTTGCTTGATGTTTAACAGTCTGATAGGTGCCATGATTACATCCTTCACCCCAGCCACTCTCCAGTCACCTTGGTTCACCCCCACCTATGTTCTTTACATGCTGATCATCATCAACGGACTGTGGCTACTTTGTGTTATTGGGTTCTTGTTGTACTTGGGACTGAAGCAGTATGGCAAGTGCCCTTGCTGTGGACAGGAACCACTGTGGCCCACAATGACATCCCATGGGCTGGATAAACTAAGTCCACAAACTCGGAAATTCACCAGAGGAATCTTAACTGCTAGGCAGTTGATGGGTGAGTTCTGAAATACTGAATTTTATTGGAAAGGATGTTTTATAACATATTTGGCTGTTAAAGAATAAATTTAAGAAAATTTTGTTACATCGGATGAAGTTATTGCTATACTCTTATAATGACTACAATGTATATGATAATTAAGATTTCTCCAAAGAAAAATAGTTGCAAATGTTTACTATTTTTAATATTTATTTTTCAGAAAAATGTTTGTCAATGCCTCCAATCTTTGCACCAGCCCATGAATTATCTCGTCAAATCCAGATCATCAATGCTTACTGCAGAGAGGCGGAGTACTTAAGAGACCCCATACATGCAACACTGTGGGACCTGCTGGATGAGTTGATAGAGGCACACTCCCAGGTGGCGCCTCATTCTGTGTTTGCTGGTATGTAAATGGAAGAACCTCTTGATGAGAACTCAAAATATATTGACTGAGAAAAAATTTTGTGTAAAAATTTATTATTTTGTCTACTAGGTGATATCCAGTTAATTTAAATATAGGCCAGTTTTAAAGTTGTTAAAATACTTTTTTAAAATGTTCATTAATGATTGACGATAATGTAACATTCTGAAAATGGTGCTTTCTTTTTTTGAATGTAGATAGTGTCAAGGGTTCCATTCGCCAGACAGCAGGAGAGCTGATGAAGATGATGCCAATGTTTGTACGGCGTTTGGCACAGAGAGAGTACGACTTCATCTTGTTGTCACCTCTGAAGAGGAGACTGCTGTTGAAGATGTATTGTCTTGGTAAGCTTAATGTTAAGAGATAAATTAAAATTATTTTAATCTCTTGCCTGATTAACTAAGTAGAATTAAGCTACAATTAGTATGCCTGTTTTTTAATGTAGAGCCAAATTATGAGTATTTGAATTATAAAAGATTCCATGCAGTGTCAGGTTTAAATATAAAAATGTGTTTTCTTTTCATTAGGATTATTTCTAAATGGCCGCCAAGAAAAGATACAGAAGGATAGGTTGACTAGTCATCAAGCAAAGAGAATTTGGACAGATGCATCTGAGAAGAAAGATGTGCAAGGTAGGGCTATATGTTGTGAAGCAAAAAGAGAAAAGATGACAACTTGTGGGGCTTGTGATCAACATACTTCTAATAACCATGAAAACAGAGAATTTCATGCATGATAAAAACACTTTTTCATCCAAATGTAGAGATATAAAATTCTGAGTTTGAAGTGACAAAGTTTGATAATGTTGATATATATTCTTCAATATGGTTTTATACAAGAAGGAAAAAAAATTAAAACGTAAAAAAATGTTACAGACATTTACTTACAATTTTTTCTTATTAAGTTGATGATGGTTACTATGAAGACATGTATCCAGAACGTCTCCTGGGCCCAGACAAAGAATATCGCCCTCAGACTGCCATATCCTTTGGTAACATGAGCCTAGCTGAGCAAAATGATGAGGACTACATGAATCAAGTAGATAGCTGGACCAAAGAACACCCATTGTCTCGGCAAGGAAATGTGAACAGGGGATTTGTAAGTATATCATTTTCTTATGGTTATAGAACTAACAGGCACATTTAATATGAGTATCTTTATTTTTGGCAAAAAAATTTAAGTAAAGGTACATAAGAAGTGAAACCACAGACAGCCATGTTTTTATGTATATATCATATGCATAACTTTCATAGAAAATAATATCACAAAATATTATATGATCATTGCATAAGGATATTAATTTATAGTAAACTTGACCTGTGGCTTTGTGTGTATATTTCAGCTGTCTGATAACTTGTCAGATATCCTTGGAGATGATGTTTCCTTGAATCTCTCTGAGATGTTAGATGGAGTCCCAAGCTTGTCCAGGTAGGTTTTGTCATATCAAGCAGGCATAGAACTTGATATATTGAGAAATGGAGGTGTAAGTTAAATGTAAGTCATGCATTTTTAGGCATAAGGCAAAATTTTAAATACTTAACTAATACAGCATGTTCATTTTGTCATCTATAATGTAAATGCATAGCGTATAATTTTTAATTTTTACAAGGCAATACATGTACAAAAAGAGGAAAGGGATAATCAAGTGAGATATGTTTGCTTGGTTTTTCTTTTTTATCAAAATATACATCTTGGTGTTTTGATTGTGTTCAGGGTTGCTCTTAAATCTGGCTGCATTAAGTTCATTTTATGGATGCAATTTTATGCAGTGTATGCATTTCATACATGAAGTTAAAATTGCTTTGCTTGCACTTTATGTATTTGTTATTGTAGCAATACTTTTTTCTTTTCTGGCTTTACTTTTTTTTTTCTAAATATCACTTTCCTTTTAAACCATTCAATATTGATTAAAGACATTTTTACTATTAAAATTGCATTGTTTCATGAAAAAAAAGTTTCGAACAACACAAGAAAACAATTCCATCTACAAGTGAGCATGTGCATTTGTAAAAGAGATACATCATATTTGATCATTTTTGTGCAGTGTATTTTACCCTGTCCTCAGTCATTAAAGTATAAAATATTCAAGTGGTTTGTAAACAAACTCTTTTTTTTTTTATGACAGAGCAGGGACAGCTAACACCCAAAGTGGGTCTGGTAGTACAGGTTCCAGACCTGGCAGTGGAGGGTCTAGACCTGGTAGTGCAGCATCCAGACCTGGCAGTGCAGCCTCCAGACCTGGCAGTCGGGCATCCAGACCTGGCAGTGGAGGGTCCAGACCCAGCAGTGGGGTAACAGTAGGTGGGAGACCAGAGTTGGAAAGACAAGGCAGGCAAGGAGGCAGACCATCATCAGCCCAATCCAGACCAATGTCTCCCTTGGCCAGGCCAACATCAGCCCAATCAAGACCAATATCTCCACTAGCAAGGCCACCTTCAGACCAGTCTAAACCAATATCTCCTTTAGCTGGGTCATCACCCCCACAGCCTGCTGAACATACGCAGCTAGTTCCCAGTGAGTCAACAAGTCCCACAGCAGAACAGCCAACTGACACCAGTGCAAAGTCTACGGAGAAAGACAGTCAAACTGCTCCTGACAGCAAATAAAGATTCTACAGTTACACCATCAAAGCAGCCAACCGCAGAAAAATGGAAGCTGTATTCCAACATGTAGAAACTTGAGATGATGTATTGAACTATCATGCTTTTCTGTCTGCTAAACAAGCTGTGTAATTTGTACATGGAACATTTATTTGGAAAAGTGCTGTATTTAGATCATTGAAAAAGCTATCAGGTTTTTCTGTCAAGCTGTGTTATTTGTACATGGTACATTTATTTGGAAAAGTGCTGTATTTAGATTTTTGAAGAAGCATTGTAGTTTTCTTTTTTTAAACATTTTTTCTAATTGATTTCCTCCCTTTATATTATTATTATTATTATTATTATTATTATTATTACCTTTCTACGAATAGATTAACATTTGTTTAAAAATATTCACTTAATGATTGGATTAAGATGTACGTTGGTACTCTTTATTTTATTTGTCAGCTGGTCTGCAAATGAAGTAAGGCATATCATATATTTTCACTCATATTAGTTTTTACAACTGTGTCTGAATGTCAAGCAGAGGTTATATCAGTAGTTTGAAATTGGATGCATATGGAAATACCATTGCCACAGAAACATTATTCCGTCCTTACATTTTTAACTAATATAATTCATCTTGCTAAGATTAAAATGCAAATGACTATTTTAGATTTTGGTATATTTTTAATGTATGTTAATATTTACTATGTGAAATTGCTTTACATGGAATTCAACTTACCAAAAGAGGACTGTGATTTAAAAAATCTCTACTGTATAATATTGTCTAGCATATTAAAATATATCCAGCAAAATGAAAACTTTGGATATCAAACAGCTGTTAAGTTCTCTAGTGTGCAGTTTTTATAACAGAATTCATTCTATTTACACACAGAGTCAAATATGCATGTCATCTGTTATATTTTAATTAAAGTTTTATCAATTTATTCTTGTGATGTTAGAATTTTAAACCTCCGTCTGCTCATCACACATTTCATTCACTTCATCAGCTAGACATCTTTAACGGAATCTAGACAAGTTTTACAACATTGTTATCTATAACAAAAACAAAATAATCAAGATTACAGTAATCCAGTGTTCTGTCAGTCTCTGCATGACAACCTAAAGTAAATGCCTCATGATGGTTTGAACACATCTAAAATGGTGTATCTTTGGTGCAATTTTAGTAGTTTTTACAATTATTCCCTGGGCCAACATATCTCTCATGATAGGACGAAGAATTGGAATGCTGATCTGGTAATAATAACAACACAGACATGGGTGCAATACCAGCATTTATTTCCAATTTTGGGCATTCACATATGCACATCATAATGAGCTATAATTTGTTTGCATGGAACTCGAACACAAATGATGGAATGGAGATTATCACAAGAAATTGGTGTGCCAGAAAGTAGCTAGCAACCAGCTTTTATCTCACATGCACTTGAATCCTTTTTATTATTTGATCAGCCTGGACTAGAATCCTACACATATCTCCAATTTTTGGTGATAATTCTCATTGCACATCTTGAACATTAAGTCGAAGTATACCATAAATTAACTGAATGCAATGTCCTATGCACTTTCCGATAAACAAGTACAAGTTGATCTATCTAGGATGCCATCACCTTAGTACATTCACACATTAAATGTTACGAAATATCTAGTAACTGTCTAACAAGTTTTTCTATTACCTATGAAGTATCTTCTTCACTCAAATCGACTTTGACTGTGCTTCATAAACGTACTGAGAGATGTTAATCTGAAGTTCAAGGGTGTACATTTCATAGTTCCCACTGGTCCTCTAGCAAAGGAAAAATTGTAAAACATAGCAAAAAAATCTAGCAAACAATACCATGCAATAAACTGGTTTAGTATGATGAACCGTTAAACAATATCTGCACTTAAATATGGCAAAAATATCATGAAAAAGATACAAAATAAAAGACAGACTTACAAAAATTATAGCCGTTTTCCCCCATATTGTCTTGAACCCCCTTTGAGACATTTCCAATATACTTATTTAACAGTCAAGATTGACGTTTACAAATCCCCCCACCTTAGAGACAGCATTCTCTGTCCTGCTTCAGTGTCTAATAGGCCATAAAATAACACCATGGGGACTGGTTGGTGGGAGATAAGTGGTAAATGTGACTTTAAGGTTTGTAATTGTATTCTTTAAGTGGCAAGATGGAATGTGATTAGATTTCAGAAACTCAAGGAAGCGGTGAATCTTGAAGATCTTTCTAAATGCAATATTCATGTCTGGCAGTGTGGAAGATCAATAAGCTCACAAGCAATGCAAACGGATGTGGAGAATGCTGCAAGCTTATGGAAATCAATACTCTCTTCACAGTATACTGGGATCTCCAGAAATCATACTTTGTAAAATTATCCTTGGCTATTTTTACAGAGAAGTTATATATATATCAGAAACCTTAATCAATATTTTTCTCCCATCAACATTATCATATAACAGGATTTCCATAACTCTCCTTAGTCTAGAAATTAGTTAACTTATTAATAACACTGTTATCCGACACCTCCCTTTTCTTCCAAAATGCAAAGCTTGGTCCAAAAACACAAAACTTGGTCTTAAAAGTTCATTTAAAGCTGTGGTGACATATTGACAAGATTATCTTCATCCTTTAAAAGAAAACTTCTACCTTAATCACATAAACTATAAACACTATTATTATTCTAACAGAATGCATTACACAAAATGTCATAAAACTTCTTAATATATAGTCAGCTGTTGAAATGCCGCTAACTGGTTAGTGAAATATCCAACTTCTTATTGTAAAACAACTGCAACTTAGGGATGCTCTAAAGGCATCTATTTATACCTACATGTAACAATTGCACACATAAATCATTAAAGACTTTGCTTACTTATCCCTTCACATACATGTAAGTATTAAAGCACCACACTTCTGAATTAATTGAATCCTCTCCCCATTCATCTTTCCAAATTGTCATGCCCATGTATCATTTTGTGAATAGAACACAATGATCTAACAGGGAATATGACACAATGAACACAGCTGTATAATACAATTATTTCACCCCCACTTATACATTCTGTTAATGGTCCTGTAGTTAAATGCAGCAAAATGTAGAAATGCAGCACAATTGAACAAAAGAGATACAATAAAGCCTCCTTACTTGACAGAAAAAAATCAATACTTCTGATTTAACAAATAATTTCATATCTCACCAAAGGGATACTCTAGCAACTGTCTAAATGCAAACCCAACTAAGACAAATCAACTTTAAAAAACAACAATGCCTAAATTATATTTCACAACCATAACAGTAAGTTTAAAAGCTGTGTGGAATTCTTGGACCATTGTACCCCAAGGAATGACATATGCCAAGCATAGAAGAGTATGCCAAAAAGAGATTTATATAGATATAGATATAGTTATACTTAGATATATACAACAATGGGTGTACAAATAATTTCAATATACTTGGTGGAATGTGCTTACTCTGGGGACAGGGATTTCTAACTCACGATACCTAGCATGGATTAATTTGCAAGTATGGTGTCCAATACATTTGAAAATAATAACACACACTACATTCTATAAAATTCTATCACCTGATATTCCACAAAACTAATGCTGATACAACATTTTAGGTACCAGAATAGCCAAGTAAATGAAGGGAGTTGTAATATGCCTCCGAATATTTGGGACAGGAATAAATTCACACGACCTGAAGACATAAGCACACTGGAATAATTGGTATTCATGTATTACGTTCATTTTCTTTTCTGAAAAAATTTACTGACAACACTATACTGGTTAACATGAAATGGTTCAAATTTTCCCTTTTGCGATTAAATGATAATGATTACAATTGTCAGAATTAAAGACATATATATTTTTACTTTGATTGCACTTAGTTGTGGCTAGAGGTACATGTGAGGGCAAGTTAATTTTTCTCAAATATATACAACACTGATTCTCTACCCTTCCCCCCAACCCACCTCTTGTCAACTTGAACTGCATTATATATTCCCAATTTTCATGTTAGCCCAATGAGTGAATATAAATAGTTCTCTATCTGTACAACTGTCCGTCCCAGTATATGAGAATTCTATCAACATAATCCCCATGGAGGCCATCCCTCTCCCTCCCACTGTATCTGCCTCTGCCCTGACCATATAGTTATTCAGCACTGACAATTGCTAGCCTGCTGGTTTGGTGTTTCTGTAAGTCTGGTGCCTCCTCTTTGGTTGCTGACAATTGTGGGGTCTGAATCCAGACTCTCAGACATTTTCTCGCAGATGATGTCTACTAGGCGCTCAAAGACTGCCTTCACATTTATGTTCTCCTTGGCAGATGTTTCAAAGAACTCCAGACCTAGAGGAAACAGAAGAAATGTGTATCTTTATTGGAAATGATCATTCTTTCCAACCCAAAATGCTATGTAAAAACCAATGCTATGTAACAGCAAATCATGTTTATTCTCATAAAATTTAGGCTATCGGAACAATTTCTTTGATGGCACAAAGAATGATTTTACATCAAGAGCCTACATCGATATAGCTATAATGAATGTGAGATAGTTGTGTGAAATCGTTGAGACAGCAGTCCAACAAATTACATTAGTATTGACAAAGCAGACAAACATTCTCAAATGACAGCAGATGAGCATATTTGAAGGATTTAACATGGGCTGAGGTTCAATAAATTGTAGAAGCACAGCAGGAGTAGAAAAACCATTGTTACAACAAAGGGAAATATCACAAGAAATATTGGAGTTTGATGGAACATTGCAGCTGTTAGGTAGTCATTTACATAATACCATTTAGATGGAACAGGCAGCCATTCTTTCCTAGGGATATGTATACAACATGCAAAAAACATAAAGGAACAGTGTAGGGAATGAACAACACTGTGACTGTCAGTTAGGCAGCATCTCCAGTAACTGAAAATAAACTGGGTTATCATACACCACAACAGAATGGTTTGGGTTAGTAATAAAACAAGAAAGAACACTTACCATACATACAACCAGTTAGTCCAAGCAGGGGTTCATAACAGTCACTTAAGTACGTTCATACTTATGTGCAAACTAAGTCTAAAGCAGTGCGGTGCATACATGCTAAGCCACGTTACAGAGAACTATGTAAAAGGAATACCATACACCTAAGTCCACTGGGATTATTACATTTCTAAGTAAAAAGGCAACATTTCTACACAGGCCCAGCATAAGACATTTGTTTCCATAGCACCCGAAAGTAGTGTAATAATGGAAACTTTAAATGTGGTTATCAAGGGAGATGTTGCCTTTTTTGTTGGTCATACACAACATAGTCCATTAAACTGTTACAATATACATCATCAGCACTGAACAGTCAGACCTGTCTGAATCAGTTTAAATAACATCAACCTAAATTTCATGAGATTCTACCCTAAATAATATGTTTAGATAAATTGTGTGCTCTCAAAAAGGTTCAACAAGTAAAAATTTACACCTCAAAAATTCAGACATTGTAACAGTTTAATGCATTGTCTGCATCCCATTGTTCCTGACCACTTTGGGATCCCAGTCACCTACCCAGCTGGTCAGCCAGCTGTTTGCCTCTCTCAGTGGACACTACCCTCTCATCCTCCAGGTCACATTTGTTGCCCACTAAGACCACCTGTGCATTATCCCAGGAATAGGTCTTGATTTGTGTCACCCTAGATTGAAGAGAGTTAAGATGTGAAACTAAAACAAAATCACACGCACGCCACACATGTGGGAGGAAAAGACCCTTGAAAATGCACCACACCAGCACACACTACATTGTCTGTATGCACTAACCACCTGTCTAGAGCCATACCTAGGCGGTGTGCGAGCTGCATTCCTCGCTCAGTTGTGACCACACGCTCCTCCTCTAGGTCGCTCTTATTGCCCACTAGGACAACTTGTGCGTTATCCCAAGAGTACATCTTTATTTGTGTGCACCTGGAATGAATAGTTGACAGCATATGCAGGAAGTTGGGTGCATCATGACACTACGTCTATCAACCAAACCCAGAAGTGCAGGGGCAAGAGGAACAAAAATACATTTAGTTGCACATAGGCAGCTATATACTTAAATTGTTGACTTCCAATAATAAAAGGCTATAACATGAATTATATTTAAATCCACTTCCTGAATACACTTTGTGATATTCAATCTGTTTCCTTGCGAAAAAACCAATTTGGCTGTCAAGTAGTCTATGTGATTTATTGATGTGATTTTATTCCTCCCACTGCTGCTCACTGCTTCAAGTGCACTACTAACTCCACTACAGCATGCCGTGTGCTGCAGCTAGCAGGCTTGCAGAAGCCAGACTAACTATATGGGTAGAGTGGTGTGTTAATTCCTACCTAACTGGTCGGCAAGTTTTTGACCATGTTTTGTTGTGACATTGCGTTGGTCCTCAAGGTCACATTTGTTGCCAACCAAAATTACTGAAGTGTTAGGCCAGGCATGTGTTTTAATCTGTGTACACCTGTGTGTCCAACAAAGAAAGACATAATGAAACCAAGAACACAAAATCAAACTAGAGGATCAGAGAGGCGATACCGNACAATACTAGTGAATTTGTAAAACTTTGGTGCCACACAATTAACTTCATTTAAATCACTCTTTGATTATCAAGAGTCAAATTTACTTAAATTTATTATAAAGACGACTTCCTTTATCAAATTTCTGTTATGACATAATTCAAAAATTCATATCCACTTTGTCAACATTACTAATATAATTAATTTTAAATACTGATAATTCATATCATAATTGCCATAGTCTATCTTACCAGTCTTGCACAGCATTAAAAGATTCCTCATTGGTGACATCATACATGAGGATGAAGCCCATAGCACCTCTGTAGTATGCTGTGGTGATTGTCCTGTATCTCTCCTGGCCTGCTGTGTCCTAAAATGATAGGGGAAGGGGTATGAATCAGGATAAAATTTCAAGCACAAATTTGCATGCCTTTTCTTTAAAACTGTTTCTCTCATGGTCTGACACAAAAAAAAAAAGGTTATATGAAATATCTTCATCATCATCATCATCATCATCATCATCATTTGCCTTTGGATGGAATGGCAGCAGCAACAAGTTCATAAAATGCAAAAATTAAAATAACTTAGTTGAAAAACAAACATAATTAACATAATAAATCAAAGTTATTTTTTTGGGATTTCTTGGTGTGTCTCTTGGCCTGACACAGTCTGAAATTCTGAAAAGGGGTTATAAATATAGTTCTCACATATCTAGTCATTACACTTTTGAACTATTTTTAACATTGAGTTCACATGGGGAGTTCCTAAATAATGATCTCAAGTCATTACTTAATTCATGATCATCCTAGCAGTTTGACTACAAAAGTTTGAAGTAATTACAGAAGTTTAATGTAATAGGTTACAGCATGAGGTAATGCAGCCAACTTGCAATGTAACACAACACTCTACCCATATGTAATGTTTTACAGCTCAGTTCTGAAAAAAAGTCAAAGGGTCACCAGTCTGAGAGTGAGGAAAAAACACCTACTTGTAGATAATAACTGGTGCTATTAAACGGGCACCATGTCAAACGTTTGTTTATCATTAGTGCAATATAGTTCATCAAAGACAGCTTTGTTACTAAGAAACAGCTATGTCTTTTTATATCTTTCTGCTTCAATTTTCCTTTCAACCAAATATATGAGGATGTAATTATTTTCATAAAAAGTTGTCCTTTAATAGTTAGCATCAATGGTAACCTTACCGTTCATATAGCCCCTTCATTTTATGTCCTATTTTAATACAACTTCTTTTAATGTCAAATTATTTTAAATATGTCTGATCTGTATCTTTCTCAAACAAAAACTAGCAACTATTCCACTGTCAATTATATCTTCCAGATTTTTATCATGATTTGAAACACACTATAATGACAGCTAGGATAATTTAACACGTTTATCTTTAAATCAAGTCTGGATAACATCAGAAAGCCATATGACAACTCTATGATTGCTGGTTTTCATAGACTGTAACCTTAAAATGTGAAGACATTATCTAGACTGTGTGCATTAAGCGTCTCTTTAAATGAAGAAGCCTCATGATGCAACCATGGCAACTGTGTTAAATGTGATATTCAAATTCTTAATTGCACTTAAGACATCAATTTAGAATCTCCTTAAATAATTAAGAAACTCAATGTACATCACTTCTGAAGGAAATGCAGACTTGGAAGGAGAAAACCATGCTCCAGTAAAACAAGGACATATTTTAACTACAGAGAAAATCACTTGTTTCACAAAGGAAACTGATATGTATAGATGCATATTTAATACGCTTAAAAAATCAATATATAGGTAAAATAGAATTCTTGAAGAGATTACACCATTTTGCATCATTATGAGAGAATACTTCATTTTTTTTGTGGTGAAACAAGATAGACCCTACATTTTCAAGGACAGGAGGTGAAGCAGAACACTAATGGGTAGATCCAGATAACTTCAGCAAACCAGGGACACCAAATTAGGATGTCACTCACCCATTGTGTATTACAGGCTTTTTCTCCTATCTGATTAACCCAGGGGAAGATGAAGACTACAGACAAGATTTATTACACCCCTCAAAACCATGCTTCTATAATATAGTGGGTGATAAAAACCTCTGGGGCTACTTTCACAGCATCATTCATGTGACAACACAAAGATAGTCACATGGAGAAGAATACCATTGGACATACTTTAGTTACTACTTTTCATTTAAGAAAACCACCAAGAAAGAGGAATCTCAGCAACAGGAGTGAGTAAATACTGGATCAATTGAACTAAAATGATAAGGAATCTTAATATCTTGTGAGAGTTAAATTTAAATGTGGTTGTCCATGCTGCACAATATTCACATGGAAGAACTCACTGGAAAATGACTTGAGACTGAATGACCTTACCAGTTTCTGTTTCTCTATACTATGAAACCAAGCCACAAAAGTCACATGCTGTGACTTTTCAAGACAAAAATGCGCTTCCACTTGAAGAAAGTTGTGAGGTTTGTCAGCCTGATTATTCTTCTATTTGTGCTGACCCAGCTGCTAAGTTATCAGGAGGAGGTTCTGTCACAGATTAATCCAACGATAAATAAAAAAGAAACAACACAATCCATTTCTGCAGAAAATCTAAACAATAATGACATTATCAATGCTAAGGAGAGATCACACTGCAAAGAACTTGAACCAATTAATCCTATGATAAGAGAGAGATTTATCTTCCAAAAGGTAAGCTCAAAACCAGACTACTTAGCTTTTTCTGCATTCTACAGTGATCAGCCAGGAGATGTATACTTTCTAAGGATCATTGGAATAGGACGATATTTAAACAACAGGTTGGACAAGTCTGTGCCTTACCCACAGTACTGTCAACTGTGGTTCCAGAAGAAAGATGGAAACACCGTGAAGGTCTACAATGAAGTGGTGCCCACTGTGGTACAAATTATGCCAGAACAGAAGTCAAAAAAGTAAGTAAATTTTCTATTTGAACATCTTAGTCCAAACTTTTATATCAATGTCAGTTTCCATTTTACACTTATAACCAATGTAAAATGAACCAAATTTCAATGCGTGTTTCCAATTAAATTGTACTAAGACTCTCTACATCTATATTGGACTTTATAGTTACCTATAACATAATGAAATAACATGATTTCAGTGCATGCTTATTAGCTGAAAAAGACCAATTTACACATGATATGAGATACATAACTAAAATGCAGCACTACTAAATTATAATTAAAAATATTGCAACCCTTTATTATCATCCAGATACCCAAAAATGAGGTTTTTCCTGCATCTAATTATTTCATAATCCATCTATTTTTGTGCTGATTTAAAACAATAAAAATATAAAATATTGGCATTTATATTTGTCATTGCAATGTATAAGCATAGGCAACTAAAAGCTTTAAACTCAATTTAAAATATGTCTATTTTGAGGTGAGATATCAATCAGTATGGGGCGTAACTTCCTCCCTGGACAAGATTTTATCTCGAAAATTGGCAGAGTTGACCAGAAGTGTATAAGTTACAATCTCGTGCTGTTGTTTTGGTTTAAATGTTTTTGTTATGGAGTCATAAGCCTCTAATTACAGATTTTCATCAAACAAAGGCTTTATTTTGCTTTATCAATGATAAAATGTGAACTAAGAATTTCAACAAAAATCAATGGCAGAGTTTAAGACTGCATTCCCACATATTTTAGATCAATCTATCTCCCTGGGAACTCACTACATTACTGTCAGCTTAGCCGGCTTAAATGTCTGTCTCCCCTACTAAAATCTGTAAGGGGGTAATTAACTTCCGTGTGCACTCAGCTGACATCAATTTAGCTTGAACCCCCAGGGAGTTAGGTCGATCCAGATGGATTGATCTAAATCTGTGGGAATGCAGTCTTAGAGTACTTAATGGTATCATTAAATTGGCGTTAAAACAGTGATCGTGCTGCATAGGTAAAAGAGAAATATGAGAAACCAATTTTTCAGTCTTTATCCCAACATCAAAAATATGACATCACCCTTAAGTTGACATATGTGCGAATGTTAATTAATTTAGTCACTGAACACTGAAGATTTATTTATTGCCCAAAAGAATGTATGTAAGGTAGTAAATAAGGAGTTTTGGGTGAAGGATGACAGTATCCTTAATTAATTTAGTCACTGAACACTGAAGATATATCTTTTACCCAAAAGAATGTATGTAAGGCAGTAAATAAGAAGTTTTGGGCAAAGGGTGACAATATCCTTAAAAATCATTTTATGAAATGTTTTTTCTAATCATGTGGTAAGTATTATCTATATAAAATATAGACCAGGCTTTGACCACAGCTAGTTCATCTGTTAAATTGCCTCCTCAGAATAATGCAATTTCCTTCCACTAACATTAATCAACTCTGTTGGCAGCAGTTTTTAGATGAAGAAATGTTAACATCACAAATATCTGGAGTGAAACAAAAAGGAAATATTAACATCACAAGTATTTGGAGTGAAACAAAAATTTAAACCTAAAACCTGTTCACAAACTAGAGGATCAGAGAGGCGATACCGCCTCCGAATATTGTACCACCAGCTGGAGCAAGCGCATTCGTATAGACCCCCACATACACAAAATAAGGGACACAGCCACCAGTCTTATGCTTGACAAGCTATANGCAATACTAGTGAATTTGTAAAACTTTGGTGCCACACAATTAACTTCATTTAAATCACTCTTTTATTATCAAAAGTCAAATTTACTTAAATTTATTATAAAGACAACTTCCATTATCAAAATTCTGTTACGACATGATTCAAAAATTCATATCCACTTTGTCAACATTACTAATATAATTAATTTTAAATACTGATAATTCATATCATAATTGCCATAGTCTATCTTACCAGTCTTGCACAGCATTAAAAGACTCCTCATTGGTGACATCATACATGAGGATGAAGCCCATAGCACCTCTGTAGTATGCTGTGGTGATTGTCCTGTATCTCTCCTGGCCTGCTGTGTCCTAAAATGATAGAGGAATGGGTATTAATCAGGATAAGGCTTCGTTCACATGGAATGTCTATTTTCTAAAAATCTATTTTCTATTCGCGGTCTGTGCCCTGAATATCCCGCCGCGTAATTACTGGCAGCGCGAGCCAGTTACTTATAGTAACTTATATTAACTGGCTCGCGCTGCCAGTAATTAGGCAGTCGCTACCAAAGTACGGCTAACCTTAGATAAATATATAGGGCATCATTTGCCACTATGATTGGGGCTCTGGGCCTTCCGGTTTTTGAGATCTCGGAAACAAACCTTTTTTGAGCCCGTTTGGCCATTAGCGACCTTGACCTTGACCTACTTGCATAAAAGTAGGTCATTATCTGTGGATTTGTTCCGTATCATTGGCCATAAGGCCCTTAGTCATATGGCTTATACTTTAGGCCTAAAGGCAATTTCAAATTTTACCAATTTTGCCTTTAAAAGCCCCTGTGACCTTGGAAAGTAGGTCAAGGACACTGAAACTGGGTCTATGGCATATTTTTACCATAGGCTACCTATGATAATTATTTCAGATTTTTTGCGAAAAAAAACGCGCGGAAAGAATAACTATAATAATAATACTACCAAAAACAATAGTATTCCCCTATGGGGAATCCTAATTAACATAAGAAATCAAAGTTAATGTTTTTTTTTTTTTTGCGTTTCTTGGTGTCTCTTGGCCAGACAGACTCTGAAATTCAATGATTATAAATATAGTTCTCACATATCTAGTCATTACACTTTTGAACTATTTATAACATTGAGTTCACATGGGGAGTTCCTAAATAATGATCGCAAGTCATTACTTAATTCATGATCATCCTAGCAGTTTGACTACAAAAGTTTGAAGTAATTACAGAAGTTTAATGTAATAAGTTACAGCATGAGGTAATGCAACCAACTTGCAATGTAACACAACACTCTACCCATATGTAATGTTTTACAGCTCAGTTCCGAAAAAAAAGTCAAAGGGTCACCAGTCTGTGGGTGGGGAAAAAACACCTACATGAAGATAATAACTGGTGCTATTAAACGGGCACCATGTCAAACGTTTGTTTATCATTAGTGCAATATAGTCCATCAAAGACAGCGTTGTTACTAAGAAACAGCTATGTCTTTTTATATCTTTCTGCTTTAATTTTCCTTTCAACCAAATATATGAGGATGTAATTATTTTCATAAAAAGTTTTCCTTTAATAGTTAGCATCAATGGTAAGATATCCAAAACCGTACCATTCATATGGCCCCTTCATTTTACGTCCTATTTTAATACAACTTCTTTTAATGTCAAATTATTTTAAATATGTCTGATCTGTATCTTTCTCAAACAAAAACTAGCAAGTATTCTACTGTCAATTTCATCTTCCAGATTTTTATCATGATTGAAACACACTATAATGACAGCTAGGATAATTTAACACGTTTATCTTTAAATCAAGTCTGGATAACATCAGAAAGCCATATGACAACTCTATGATTGCTGGTTTTCATAGACTGTAACCTTAAAATGTGAAGACATTATCTAGACTGTGCATTAAGCGTCTCTTTAAATGAAGAAGCTTCATGATGCAACCATGGCAACTGTGTTAAATGTGATATTCAAATTCTTAATTGCACTTAAGACATCAATTTAGAATCTCCTTAAATAATTAAGAAACTCAATGTACATCACTTCTGAAGGAAATGCAGACTTGGAAGGAGAAAACCATGCTCCAGTAAAACAAGGACATATTTTAACTACAGAGAAAATCACTTGTTTCACAAAGGAAACTGATATGTATAGATGCATATTTAATATGCTTAGAAAATCAATATATAGGTAAAATAGAATTCTTGAAGAGATTACACCATTTTGCATCATTATGAGAGAATACTTATTTTTTTGTGGTGAAACAAGATAGACCCTACATTTTAAAGGACAGGAGGTGAAGCAGAACACTAATGGGTAGATCCAGATAACTTCAGCAAACCAGGGACACCAAATTAGGATGTCACTCACCCATTGTGTATTACAGGCTTTTTCTCCTATCTGATTAACCCAGGGGAAGATGAAGACTACAGACAAGATTTATTACACCCCTCAAAACCATGCTTCTATAATATAGTGGGTGATAAAAACCTCTGGGGCTACTTTCACAGCATCATTCATGTGACAACACAAAGATAGTCACATGGAGAAGAATACCATTGGACATACTTTAGTTACTACTTTTCATTTAAGAAAACCACCAAGAAAGAGGAATCTCAGCAACAGGAGTGAGTAAATACTGGATCAATTGAACTAAAATGATAAGGAATCTTAATATCTTGTGAGAGTTAAATTTAAATGTGGTTGTCCATGCTGCACTATATTCACATGGAAGAAATCACTGGAAAATGACTTGATACTGAATGACCTTTATCAGTTTCTGTTTCTCTACTATGAAACCAAGCCACAAAAGTCACATGCTGTGACTTTTCAAGACAAAAATGCGCTTCCACTTGAAGAAAGTTGTGAGGTTTGTCAGCCTGATTATTCTTCTATTTGTGCTGACCCAGCTGCTAAGTTATCAGGAGGAGGTTCTGTCACAGATTAATCCAACAATAAATAAAAAAGAAACAACACAATCAATTTCTGCAGAAAACCTAAACAATAATGGCATTATCAATGCCAAGGAGAGATCACACTGCAAAGATCTTGAGCCAATTAATCCTATGATAAGAGAGAGATTTATCTTCCAAAAGGTAAGCTCAAAACCAGACTACTTAGCTTTTTCTGCATTCTACAGTGATCAGCCAGGAGATGCATACTTTCTAAGGATCATTGGAATAGGACGATATTTAAACAACAGGTTAGACAAGTCTGTGCCTTACCCACAGTACTGTCAACTGTGGTTCCAGAAGAAAGATGGAAACACCGTGAAGGTCTATAATGAAGTGGTGCCCACTGTGGTACAAATTATGCCAGAACAGAAGTCAAAAAAGTAAGTAAATTTTCTATTTGAACATCTTAGTCCATACTTTTATATCAATGTCAGTTTCCATTTTATACTTATAACCAATGTAAAGTGAACCAATTTTCAATGTGTGTGTTTCCAATTAAATTGTACTAAGACTCTCTACATCTATATTGGACCCTATAGTTACCTATTACATAATGAAATAACATGATGTCAGTGCATGCTTATTAGCTGAAAAAGACCAATTTACACATGATATGAGATACATAACTAAAATGCAGCACTACTAAATTATAATCAAGAATATTGCAACCCTTTATTATCATCCAGATACCAAAAAATGAGGTTTTTCCTGCATCTAATTATTTCATAATCCATCTATCTTTGTGCTGATTTAAAACAGTAAAAATATAAAATATTGGCGTTTATATTTGTCATTGCAATGTGTAAGCATAGGCAACTAAAAGCTTTAAACTCAATTTAACATTTGTCTATTTTGAGGCGAGATATCAATCAGTATGGGGCGTAACTTCCTCCCTGGACAAGATTTTATCACAAAAATTGGCAGAGTTGACCAGGAGTGTATAAGTTACAATCTTGTGCTGTCATTTTGGTTTAAATGTTTTTGTTATATGGAGTCATAAGCCTCTAATTAAAGATTTTCATCAAACAAAGGCTTTATTTTGCTTTGTCAATGATAAAATCTGAACTAAGAATTTCAACAAAAATCACTGGCAGAGTTTAAGACTGCATTCCCACATATTTTAGATCGATCTATCCCTGTGGGGACTCTCACTAGATTACTGTCAGCTTAGTCAGCTTAAATGTCTGTCTCCCCTACTAAAATCTGGTAGGGGGTAATTAACTTCCGTGCGCACTCAGCTGACAGCAATTTAGCTTGAACCCCCAGGGAGTTAGGTCGATCCAGATGGATCAATCTAACTCTGTGGGAATGCAGTCTTAGAGTACTTAATGGTATTATTAAATTGGCGTTAAAACAGTGATCGTGCTGCATAGGTAAAAGAGAAATATGAGAAACTGATTTTTCAGTCTTTATCCCAAAATCACAAATACGACATCACCCTTAAGTTGACATATGTGTGAATGTTAATTAATTTAGTCACTGAACACTGAAGATATATCTTTTACCCAAAAGAATGTATGTAAGGCAGTAAATAAGAAGTTTTGGGCAAAGGTGACAATAGCCTTAAAAATCATTTTATGAAATGTTTTTTTTCTAATCATGTGGTTAGTATTATATATATAATATATAAAATATAGACCAGGGTTTGACCACAGCTAGTTCATCTGTTAAACTGCCTCCTCAGAATAATGCAATTTCCTTCCACTAACATTAATCAACTCTGTTGGCAGCAGTTTTTAGATGAGGAAATGTTAACATCACAAATATCTGGAGTGAAACAAAAAGGAAATATTAACATCACAAGTATTTGGAGTGAAACAAAAATTTAAACCTAAAACCTGTTCACAAATTATCTGATGAGTTACATGTAGTGTTTATTTTGTAGATTTTCCAAAAAATCCAAGTGATGACAATACATCTGAAAATAATTTTTGTATATTTTTCAGGTATCATCCTGTTCTTTACTTATGCTATGGCCCAAAGAATTACAAACTGAAAACAGTTCCTTATGCTGTGTCTCTTGTGGACAGTAAATGCAAGAAGCCACTCAATTTCCTTAAGGTTGTCAATACCAAAGAAGAAGCAAAAGGAAAAACACAACTAGACTTCGGGGTTTGTGTCACACCATTTAATTTCAACTACAATAAAACACTGAGTTTTGTAGAAAATCTTGAAATACAGAAAATGTTTGGAGCACAACATTTCACTTTCTACAATTTCAGTCTCAGTGATAAAATGAAGCCAGTGCTGAACTCTTATGCATCAGAAGGAAACATAAGTGTCATTCCTTGGCCTCTCCCTCCACACTTAAAGGTAGACATTTGGCCTCCCAATAAAAAACATGTACCTAATATATTCTATTTTGCCCAATTGGGAGCCCTAAATGACTGCCTTTACAGGAACATGTACAGATTCAAGTACTTGCTCTTCTTGGATTTAGATGAAATTGTTGTCCCTAGAAAAGATGAAACCTGGAAAGAGATGATTGAATCAGCTGCAAAAGTCAAAGGGTTTACTAAGAATGCAACTAGTTATATGTTCAGAAATACTTTTTTCCGATTAGACTGGGGACTGCTGAGTGATGACAGCCTTTCTGACAAGAGGATACAATTATATCACCCTTATTCCTTGCTGTCTGTCAACAGGGAGAAAAGAATATGGAATGCTGGCTCTAGATCAAAATACATGATAGTTGATGCCCAATGTGTCTCTGTGGTTGGTGTTCACCAAATATGGGGATATATAAGTGGAAAGCGTTGCTACAAACACAAATCAATGATAATGCCTATCAACATAGGACTACTTCATCACTACCGCAACTGGAAAAAGCCAGAGCAGAAAAAACATGATGCTATGATTAAAGACAACAATATCTTCAGGTTTAAAGATAGTATAATCAGTAGAATAGAAGACAGGTTCAAGAAAATAACATCACAAGGACAAATAGAATTTATCCAATGAATGTGAATAAAGAAACAATATTTTTATGTTATTGCCAAAACTGTAAAAAACATTCCCAGAAATTTAGATCGATCCATCTGGATCGACCTAACTCCCTGGGGGTTCACGCTAAATTGCTGTCAGCCGAGCGCACAGGACAGTTAATTACCCCCTTACAGCTTTTAGTAGACACTTAAGCCGGTTAAGCTGACACCAATCTAGTGAGACTCCCCAGGGGGATAGATCGATCTAAATATCAATGGGAATGGAACCTAAGTTTGAAGATAGTATGTCACACATTTTCAATGTATTGTGTTCACAGTTAAAAGTTCATGTCAATGGCGATGACAACAAAACAGGTGATGACTATATGTACAGACACAGCATGTATGTACATAAAAAAGTCTTTTTTTATTCAAATGCAATAAATGACATTGTATTAAATTCAAACACCATTTTCAACTCAAGTCTCAGAAATAAATTTATATAATCAAATTTGAAGAACCAGGAGTAAAATATTATTTCTTAAATTAACAAGAGCATCAGAGAGGATACCGCCTCCGGATATTGTACCACCAGCTGGGGTAAGTGCATTCATATGGAAAATCAAAAAAAAAAAAAAAAAAAAAAAAAAAAAAAAAAAGGGTCAAGCTCAATAAAATGCTATCAACCAGAGTTCTCAAAATATGCAATAAAAAAATAATAAATAAATAAAAATAAATAAATAAATAAATGAATAAATAAAATAAAATAAAATAAAATTGCACAAAAACATAACTAAAAATGGTCCAATCAAACAGATTTTTTAATTCACCTGTATTTTCCTAACAATGATCACTCCTGTGATTTTCTAGACAAAAGGCCTATTGGTTTTCCTTGAAATGTGTTATCAATGTTGCATAGATGCTGACAAAAGAGAAAATCTAGGGGCAACACTGGGCTTATCTCTGCTAGTTTTGAAGATATGAGGGGCAAGAAAACATGCAAAGTGCAGTTCATGGTGAAAAACTACTAGCAGGTCAAAGGTCAATTTCAAGGTCACAGTATATGACTTCCTATTCAAGTTCAACAGTAACCATGTGCATTTCTTTGCCAATTTTGCAGATATAAGGAACAGAAAATTTGAATTGTTCAGTTCATGGTGAAAAGTAGGTCAAAGGTCAATTTCAAGGTCACAGTGAGATTGCCAGTATATGACTTCTTATTCAAGTTCAATAGTAACAATGGGCATGTCTCTGCTAATTTTGGAGTAATTCACATTTTGTTTTCACCACTGAATATTGCGATGTTGTACTTTTTATATAGCGCAACGCCTAAACCATATCAAAAACAAAAAAACTGACAACACCTCCAGTATTGCACTTGACAAGTTCTACAAATTGCAAAAAACAAAAGGTCTCTAGCATCTACGGTTCCAGAATTAGAGATAGTTATCAGTTTTGGAATCTAATGGCTGCTTCTCCCATGCAAAAAGCATCGATTGACCCCAAGCTCCCAAAGATGGAAGGAGTCCCTGATTGTAACCCCTCACTATAATAATGAGAGCTTAGGTCTGTGTAGTTTCTGAAAATTGGTACAAACAAATATTTTTTTTGCAGAAAATTCCCATTTTTAGAAAATTGTGTCCCGTTTGACCTTGAAATAAAGGTCGAAAGTCAAATCCAAGGGCATATATGGAATCTCCACATATGACTTTCGGTCAGACTTCTGTAGTAATTTTCCCATAATACCTTCAGTTTAAGAGAAATAAAAATAGCATTGAATTTTCAAAAATTTTGACAAGGGTGCATTTCAACGAGTGTCACGCCCAGGTCAATGCATCGACTGAGACATAAATACCAGGGGGTTCAAGTTGAGATTATATGTGACCTAAATCCAAGAGATGGGGACACAGGTCCTTGCGGTCTAGGAGGAGAAGAAGGGGTAACGGTAAATTGTATCCGACAACACCCTGCGGAGCCAATGAAGCCGGCGGAGCTGTACGAGACAGGTCGGGACTAAAACCATGAGTACTGCCAGTGTACACCCTGGTGGTACTAATAATACATTGTTAGCACCAATGGCTACAGCCTAGGTCAAATCCTTTTCAATGACCACAGTCACAGATCATTAAGCTCTCCTGATATTCATATATTCAGTAGATATAGGTCAGCATTCTATTTCACGTATAGCTACTTTTGTAATTTTCATTGCAAGTTAGACTGGGTTCCCATACCTAGATCGATCTAACAGGATCCACAGTTAGTATGATAGGGTCTGGGAACAGTCCCTTACACTCAGCAGCATTCTGTGTACTATAATAAGACAAAGAGGCCACCTGTGTGAAAATATTTTAAATGAATTAAGATCCTCCTCCACAACCCATTAGGAAAAGTAAATACTGCTGTAAGAGGAAATATTAGAAACACATTAGTCATCTACTTAAAAGTTGTGGGCACTTCAATGGGTTGTACCAATAATAAGTTGTAATTCTTGATAACAGAAGGATTCCACAGATATTGTGATGAGATAAATATGCTGACCTTCTACACTTTCTTGCAAGCAACTGGAAGAAACAAAGTCAATTTAAGTAATGGGTACAAAATTGCTCTGCTGTGTTTGGGGTGGTTATGTCCATCTTCTTACGCTTAGCAATAAAAATTTCCATGATCTCATTCAGAAGTTATATAACTTCCAATGTTTTTTTAAAGTTGCCTAGATAACATTTTAGAAATTTTACAACATACTTTGTAAAAGACTACTAATAATTCCTTGAAAAAAATCTTATTCCTCAGCAACCTCATGCTTTTGAAGCACTGTCAAGTATGAAAACACTGATAGTGCCCTGTTAGGATTCCCCATCATTAAATTATTGTTTCAGTACTCAGAGCCACAGCAGTTCCTGCTGAATATTCCCAGGCTATCCAATCTCCTGGATTTATACTAATCAAGAAATAAGGGTTATAAGGGATGGTGGTGGACTAATCAATCAATGGGATTCCTTTTCTCTTCCTGCCACAATTTAACTGCCTAAAGATCAATTGAACACACTGGGAGAGTTAAATTTTCAGAAATGCAATAGTGTTGTTGCCAGGAGACTGCTGTAGAAATACCCTGTATTGATATTCAACAACAACAGTATCAGCATAATATAACACAACTTTTGTAATCTCCCAAAATGGAGGAGAGAGACAATTAACTGGTACATAGACTGAAAATGTTCATTTAATAGCACATTATATCAAACAGTGTTTCTGGAATAGCTGTACTTACCCTATTGGCTACAGAAGCATAAATGAAATGAAAATTGTCATTTCAAACACAAAAACATAAGTGCATAAACTTAATGAGGGACCTTTTTTTGGTTGCCATGATTATTGGGATATAATGTTGGTGTCTCAAAATGTATGCATGTGCAACAATGGTCATAGTAATACTTACCCATATTTGTAATTTCACACGTTTGTCTTGACGAAATACTGTTTTAACTTTGAAATCTATTCCCACTGTGCTGACAAATGCTGATGTGAAGGAATCATCTGCGTATCTAAAGAGAAACGAGGTCTTGCCTACACTGCTATTGCCAATGATCAGAAGCTTGAACATATAGTCGAAATTCTGGTCTGCTGCATCTTTCTGCCATTTTGAATCATTTGCAGACGCCATCTAGAAGGATAAAAAGCATATCTTAAAATAAAACATTCACCTTTTTTTTCTCAATGAAAATAAATATTGGTGGCAACAATGGGAATCATCAAAGATAGCCCAATCTTAATTCTGCAGGATTTGGAGGAGAGTGGGGACAGTGAAAAATGGAGTGAATGCCATGCAACAATGTGTGAAGGCAATAGAATTTATCTATGGATGTTTTTCTAGTTGGTTTTCCTTTAAGTTATGGCAAAATTAGGCTTTTGCAGAACAGAATGTGTTCACCATATATTTGCAAGTTACTTCTGTATTGCTTTCTGTTTTTAAGACAACATTCTCAGCAAACATTTTCTTGTTTGTTATGGTGTCACACAGTCCCAATAGCCCGTTTGTTTTATTATTATTTTACCATCTATTTATCTATTTTTTTGCTATTTTGGATGGTTTCCATTACAATCAATCACAGGCACCAAGGTAATGTTAAATATGACTTTTTGTCTTCACTATAATGCTGACAACCCTTCTTGTATTTTTGCCCTTCCATCTGATATACTCAGGTATATTTGTGTAGTAAGTTAAATGGCATCTTTCCTTCTTTTGCACTTCACTCAGCTGCTAAAAGCATGACCAAACCACAAAAACACAGTTTGAGTAAAATTCTTTGTTCATCTTTCCCATGGCATTAGTATCATAAGACCAAGAACTTTCCAAACTTTCCCAGTAATAGTGAACTTTTTACCATGATAACTGCTCCAGCCATGCCTCTGCCACCTGCTGTACTCCTACTATGCAATGGATGACTTCCAGTTTAAGCCATATCAATGGTATACTTGATATATATAAAATATCAAGAACTAGGGCATACAAATTGTATTCAATGATACTTAATGGGAGGGTTCACCAACCTATATTACCCTTAGGATGGTGTGTTGATGGACACATTACATTATTTATGATATCATGCAAACTGAAATATAAATTGGACATTCATATGTTTCTCCTGTATATTATTAATTGTTAAATAAATAGACTTAAAGCATGAATTTACTATTTTGATAATAAAAGCAGTAAGTTGTTGTCCAAATATTAAATCATATATGAAAGAGAGTAGGGAATACCTTTTGCGTTCTGCGTGATTGGCCTTTTTTTTCGAGCATGATTGTTATTTGAGCCAAATATTCTGCTTGAAACGTGATTCAGGAATTCTTGGTGATTGACCTGAATATATCTTCGTGATTGGTGGTTAAGGGGGGTATTCACTACCCTCATGAAACAATGGTATTGTTGTAAAATGTAAAACGTGAATATACTGGAGTATTACTTCAGTAATAGCACAGCTGTGTTTCATGCAGCTGGCTTCATGGCAAGATATTAATATAAGTTACAGACAAAATACCTAACATTTCTAGCCACCTAATATATCAAAGTGNCTTGTTGTAAAATGTAAAATGTGAATATACTGGAGTATTACTTCAGTAATAGCACAGCTGTGTTTCATGCAGCTGGCTTCATGGCAAGATATTAATATAAGTTACAGACAAAATACCTAACATTTCTAGCCACCTAATATATCAAAGTGAAAAATACTTAAACCAGAACAATACATTAAGTCTTTTTTAAACCTAGATAAGACATATCTTAAATAGTTACAGCAAATTCATTTGCATTCAAGCGGTACTTGGGAATAGACACAGGATATATCTAAGCATTATTTCACATTCCATATAGAGAGTGCTTTACATATTGTTATGTATTCAATCTGAAACCAGTAGACCTCCATTGCTGATATAATACTATTAGAAAGACACACAAGAGGTTTTGCAAAATTAGCTTACTGCAAGTGGAAATATCCTGTTGTAAAATTATAAAATACAAATATTATATAATTTATCATGTACTTGTGCATTTCATCTGCACTCATCACCATATGTTATCACAATGTACCCAAGAGGCATATGATACATTTACTTTAACAAAAGAATCTACACACAGTTATATAGTATAAATACCATGCTAGAGATAGCAGGCATTGCCTTTCTGTGAGATCAGGTATGACTATATTTTTATATATAAAGCTGCATGACTGGTTTAATTTGATGAATCACTTTAATTTCATCATTCCACTTGTGCATTATGTTCAGCAAGTTCACTTTGTTTAATATCCCATGGGAAGAACTACATTGATTTCATGGTCTCTGTTTCCTCTCTCTTTGAAACTCCCTTTAAGATACAAAGATGATGACTTTGCACTCATCTCAGTCTTCGCCTTCGTCCCCTCAAACCCATACCCACCAACCAATCAAGTACGAAAATTATGTACATTTTACAAACTTTCAGTGCTTCTACGGATATCAAGAATATCAATACTAAACGAATTATTATGAATGTGATATATACATTTAAAATGTTACCTGTACTTAACATGGCAAAAAACATAACATTTTTCAAATATGTTTGACAAAATTAGCCTCAATCTATAAATCCCCAACACAATTTCTAATTGTGACCTGTATATGCAATGCATGTCAATTATTCATAGAGGGATATATAGCAACATCATGGTTAGCTAGAGCTACATTTTAAAGACCCTCCTTCATTGATTCAATATATATTTGTTCTTGGCAGCATTGATCTTCATATCCTCATGATAAGTGTACATTTAACACCACACATAGATTTTCTTTGTGCTTTCAGCAAGGGGAACACATTCGCTACACAACATACCATATGCCAGTTTTTGTGTATGAAATACTAATTATAAAATAATCCATACACCTTCTATCACACGGAACCATTGTAATCAATACAGCAGCTGTGCAATTACAAAGTCATATATTCCAGTAGTGGTCTACATGCAGTAAGAAACCTTAACAACAAACCTCAGGGGTAAAATTTCATGAAATTGACAAAGCAAGTCGTTTGATCCATATCAGTTACGCTTTCAAATGATCTTCTTATTCTAATGTAAAAGTAGAAAATGCTGAGAAAATAATAAACTTTTGAAGTGCTGACATTCGTCTTTTAATCATGCTAATATATTCAAAAATACCTACCTTGCCAACCAAACTACTATCTATACTTTGGGCTTTCCCAGATGACTTTAAAAAACCAAAAAATTAACTTGTAATGTGTAAATTATGTCCTTCTGTGTTAGGTTTCCTGAGAGCTCCAAATGTGACTGCCTCCTGTATGGTCAAGTACACATGCAAGTATTAAGCAGTGATCAATAAACTTACCATGAATGTAGAATTTTGAAGCCAGTGGGAAAGGGAATGACGTCAATACTGATCCAGAAAACAAATGGGATGCTCCTACACAAACGCATTCTAAAATTGCTATAGTAACCACACACATTCGATCCCATTTTTAGAACTTGGGTATTAAATGTTGCTGTACTCAGCATTAAATATAGTCTAAAATAAACAGTTCAACTTGGTAAAACTGATATTATGTATGGTTTTGCCTAAAGTGCTTTGATTGCTGTTAACTTCCTGCTAAAAAGACCCCTTTCTTCTACTTCTAATGGTAATGGACAAACTATTACTGTAGTGTGCAAACTTAAAATTTAAATTAAATGCAGTATCTTTTTCATGCATTTAACTAACCTTATATTATAACTCATACTTCTTTAGTACGAACTAAATGTACTTAAGTTTACAAGACTTCCAGTAATTGCTTTTTGGGTGGAAAATCAATAATATACATGTATAAGACTATCAAACAACCAACATCAGTTCTCATACCTTTCGATAAAAGTCCTTAGTTGCTTGTGTCTCCATTTTAGTCTTAAATAGCACACATACTATCAGGCCACCATGCATTTATTGCAAGCAATAAACACCAGCATCGTAGTAGTGTTCTGAAAAATCCTTCAATTAGTAACTGAGGAATCCAGTTCTCTTGCAATGCTGTTTTGAAGAAACTAGAAGCTTAACTGAGCTCATAGTTTAACTTTCACCAACCTGATGCATGTCAGTTACTGCATTTCAAGTAGCTCAGTGGTTGGTGAATGTGTAAGAATCTAAAGACTACAACTTTCCAACCAACATGTATGATTCATAAATATCTACAAATCAATAGAAAAACAGGTCAACGTAATTTGCATAAATAATTCAGACCCTGTAAGTGACCACAAAAATAGGGTCATAGCACATTCACAGCTTTATCAAATTAACGAGAAAATAAACCATAACATTTTACCAGACATATACTTTGTAACAACAAAAACATTCTGAATTCAAGTAATGTATGCTTTTTTTAGAAATAGAGAGACGCTGGTTCAAGGAGAATCTATTACCAAAGGAGAGGCTTTTCTAATTTTTATTTAACCCTTTACAGTTGATCAAATTTGAGAAATGGAGAAAGGGTTTAGAATCAAGAGCAAATTTTGTTACAGTATAGACCTTTTCAGGCCCAAAAAAGCTGTTCTCCCCCCCCCAAAACAACACACACACACACACACACACACACACACACACACACACACACACACACACACACACACACACACACACACACACACACACACACACACACACACACACACACACACACACACACACACACACANTGACTCACCTTCCAGGCTCCCCCTACCACCACCACACACACACACACACACACACACACACACACACACACACACACACACACACACACACACACACACACACACACACACACACACACACACACACACACACACACACACACACACAAGCCTGACTATTGATCTATACATTACGGGTTTAAAATCTTTCCATTAGTTAATTATGGTAATAAACTGCACCAAGAACATGTAACTTCACATAATGGGGTCAAATTAATCATAATTTGGAGGCTATTGCTAATTCTGGCTTTTGTTCAATGTTCTGTTTGGAATATCTGATGGAATTCTACTCCATCTTAATGATATAAGATCATCAAAAAATAATCTGCACTGTTATGTATGGGGACATTCAGAATGAGAAGATCTGAGTGCTAATTGATCCACGGCCTTAATATGGCAGTCCTACATGAAAGGAAGACTGCTTAATCCTGTAATGGTCTCCCCACCCTTTTCACACCTCCCCACGCGTCGTCCCTGCAGGGGCACAGTAGACCATCACAGAGAGACCATTAGAGGATTAAGCGGTCTTCCTTTCATGTAAGTACACCATATTTAGGCCGTGGACCAATTAGCACTCGGATCTTCTCAATCTGAATGGCCCCTATATCTTACCAAACCAGATCAACAATACAGTATGAAAGCAATACTTAATCTACTTTTTTATATTTTGCAACATAACCTACTAGCAGAACAGCAAAAAGATTTTTTTTTCTTTCTGTCTCAAAACTTGTATGTCACTGATGTGTGTTTCAATATAGTACTTATATTTTAATCATAGGCTGGTTTGTCATGTGCCCTATGCTAATCACCACAAAATTATGGTCTACAGGAATGTATTGGCAAAATCTACAATGCGACAACATTTTATTGACATTCTTACAGGCTGTGACATGTACTTATGAAAGCATAATAATAATTATATAATTATCCTTATATATTCCCCCCCCCCAAAAAAAAAAAAAATCTGATGGGAAAAATGATAAGGCTATCAATTTGATCATTTGATGTTAATTAGCATCTCCTAATATAAAAAGGCCCATATTTTTAATATAAGACTTAAAAGCAGACCAAACTGCTGCCTCAATACTGGTTGTGATGTTTGACAATTACACTACCTTTTAAATTTGCAGGTATTGACAAAGTATTTACATATTTAGCTCAAGGAAAATTTGGGATAAAAAGCCATTTAATAACAATAATAATGCACAACAGCTAACTTTGTGCACTGCAATCCCAAAAGGCTGAAGTTAAGGCTTCTGATACATGTAGGTTGATCTTTTACTTCAAGGTCACCACTAGGAGCTTATAGGACACATGTGTATATTTAATTCCTTTACCTTTATGTAGTTACAACTTCTTACTTTTGAAATTGACATATTACAGTGAGTATGAGCATGAAAAGTTGTTCACTTTTATAATCCTATCTGGCGTTTGAAAATGTTCTGAAATTCATGATATATATTTAAAAAAACTCCAGTGACATGCACTTTATGATATTTTGGTCTTTTGGCTAAAGATGGCAGTCCTACAATCCCTCCATAAGAAACCACTAGCAACTACAAAAGGTTGACTGACCACTGAAGACCACTGAAACCACAGATACAAGCTAAGAGATGCACATGGAAAAGGTTATGTGAGATATGTATATAGCTAGTACATGTACATTGTACTGTACCAGCCAGTACATGTAATACTCAAGCATCTCCAATGTATTTCGTAGTTATTGTGTAGTTACATCAAATAAATTATAAATTATGAAAAATAATATCTATATGGAAAGTGGGATATACCTGTATCATCCCGTCTTGCCTCATGCTAGTCGTGTGTACTGCTACCACCTGTTTAAGATGGAGTTGCCAAAAACAAACGGAAGCAAAAATGTGGAGCGGTGCGGTCTTATGATAATATAACAGTTGATGCACTCTCTTGTGTCTAAATATTCCACAAGTATTTCCGATCACAATATATTTTATAACTCGACTTCTACATGAAACTAGCGAGATGACGGTCACGGCGACTCCGTTGATTTGATTGCAAATTACAGTCGATGCCGAATCGGCGAATGTACAAATCGCCTTGATGGGAAAAGCACATCATTTAAATGATTTTGATATTTTCTTCATTGTTCCTACGACACAAAAGATTACAAAGGACATGATGTATGCACGCATAAAAGTGAGATATTGCAAATATCATTCTTACCTTCGTTAACCTGTGCGCTCTATATTGATTTCACAGCAGATGATCAATAATGCGAAAAAATACCCGTATGTATAGTGGATGTGCTGCCTGCAATGTGTTAGGTGCCCCAAGATCTGCGCTTATTAGACCCTATGTGTTGTCCCCAAAGATATAATTAAAGGCTTATGTTTCAGACCAAATTTGAAATGAAGTAAGCCAAATTTAAGATAAAAATGCCCTTTTTAAATAGATAAATTGTAAATTTTATTAATGTCTCTGCTTTTTTTTGGTATTCATTTAGTTACATTGTGAGGAGAATGTTGACAGCATCAAAAATTATTGCAGGCTTTAAGTGAAATAATTTTTTGACTAACCTATATTGCAAGTTGATCGTCAACTTTGCATGGACACGCATATTTGCAAACCTTTTTATTAGCTGTTGCAGGTACTTTAACAGGTCAGAAACCCACATCTCCAATGTATTTTTCACACATTTCCTGCATATCACTTTTGTCCTCACCCAAACACACAAATACAGTACCATACCTGCCAACATTCTTACAATCCAGCCCTATAGATTGGACTGGTAGCTTGAACCACACGTGTGTATCAATACGCACTTTGAAGTATCAGACGCAAAACCACTCTTGCCTAGTGCACAATGTGGAAGTAATGATTCTCAGTGGGGTTGGAAAGTAGTGCATCTCATCTCAAAATTTGTTCCGGGGTATGATACTGTGAAATGCATACTGACGCACATCTTGCAAACGGGCAGTGTGGTCCGATCTACCGGTGAATTTGGGATCATTCGGTGCCGCGTCTGACAAGAGGATACAATTATATCGCCCTTATCCCTTGCTGTCTGTCAACAGAGAGAAAAGAATATGGAATGCTGGCTCGAGATCAAAATACATGTTAGTTGATGACCAATGTGTCTCTGTGGTTGGTGTTCACCAAATATAGGGATATTTAGGTGGAAAGCATTGTCACAAATCAATGAGAATGCCTATCAACCTAAGACTGCTTCATCACTACCGCAACTGGAAAAAGCCAGAGCAGAAAAAACAGGACGCTATGGTTAAAGACAACAACTTCTTCAGGTTTAAGGACAATATAATCAGTAGGATAGATGACAGGATAAAGAAAATAACATCACAAGGACAAACAGAATTTATCCAATGAATGTGAATAAAAAAACAACATTTTGCAGTTATTGCAAAAACTGTAAAAAACAGTAAGCTTGAAGATAATAAGTCGCACATTTTCAATGCATTAATTGTGTTCACAGTAAAAGTTCACAGATATGATGACAAAAGCAGGTGGTTATACATACAGACACAATGACACACACATTGGACTTAAGTATGTTACTCCTGTATATTGTTTATTCTTAATGCATTATAATATACAATGTCTATTTACCTTTTTTGTATTAATTAACTTACATTGTTAGGAGGATATTGACAGCATCAAAAATTATTACCCATGTTGTAAATGAAATAATTTTTGAATCATTTTAAACTGCAAGTTAACCTTCCACTCTGCATGGACATGCATCCTTTGCAAACAATTTTATTTGTAGGGTACTTTAACAAATCATAAACCCATATCACCAAATTACCTTTAACAAATTTTCTTGCATACCACTCTTGTCCTCACTCATACATATAAATACCATACCTGACAACATTCCTACAATCCACAGGGGCGGATCCAGAGCTATATACTGACAGTCTTCCAAATTATCTTTGTTAATTCATCCTCCAATTTTGACCATCTTCCAACATGAAAAATTGGATACCCGTCAATGTAAACTTGAAAATCTGACCGTCTTCTGGAAGACCCAGAAGACGGCCTAAATCCGCCCCTGATCCAGGACTGAGGGGTACACGTTATATAAATACAGGACTTCTGTTCTCATTCCAAAAGTGTTGGATATTATCCAGGACCAGTACAAAAGGATGTTATTTCTATTAGCTTATATTATTTACCATATATATATATATATATATATATATATATATATATATATATATATATATATATATATATATATATATATATATATATATATCACTCACATGGCATCTTTTTCAGCATTACCCTGTTAATCACTTTTTCATTTAACCTACTAGTATCAGCATGCAGCCACCACATCACAAAGCATCCATCATCCACCATCATCCATCATCAGCATCATCCGTCTAGACCTCTCATTATCACTAACCAGGGTTGCTGTATTGTATAATCTTTATTTCTTTTTTATTCTTTGAACTTGTAAATGTTTCATGTTCTGTATTTTCAAAAGCTTTGCAAGCCATACATGGTGTTTATGAAAGCATTATCTTCTTTAACTTTATTAGGCAATGAGAGCTTTTTAAAATTTCAAAAAGTTCAATTTTTTTAGTTATTAATTATCCTGTAGCAGGAGACATGTCCAGAATGGAATACATTCTTTGACAAATTGATAGTCTCAATGCGTGAGTGGATATAAAAAGTGCCACATCCCCTTTCTGTCAAATAGAACAGTGGAACCTTCAGGTTGGTTTTTCAGGACCACTGCCCTGAAAATGAAGACTAAAACTGTTCTCCTTCAAATATTAGATTACAGTAACTGCTGTAAATGACAACTGTAGCATTTCTTTTTCTGGATTTTCATTTTTTAAAATGTTTGTTTCCAAAATCCTGAAGTACTTGCAGTGACACTGACAACAGCAAATATGACAAACATGGGCTGATCATACCATTCCAGTATACAACAATTTGTTCATGTCCCCATCTGCTGAAGTTTTCTCAAATCTGTCTTTTCTAGATGAACTAGTCTTGTGCAAAGTCAAGGAGGGATAACAGATATTATCATGAAATAACATTTTGTTTATAAATAGGTGCAGAAAATTTACATAGCAAATGTACTGGGTATCATTCACATATGTAAGATTGAATGCTTCTTCTAAATAAGCTTCTTATTGAAATCAAAATATAGGAATGACATCAAATCATCCCTATCATATACATAGCTTATCTGGGAGTTGGTTATTAGCTGAGTAAAATGTGGCCAATAGAAACAAATTTGCATGACTTTAAATTTTCTTGATATTTTGGATAACTGAACTATAATATAAACTAAATGTCAAGGATACGGTTTTAGATGTTCAGCAAAGTTCTTCATTTCTTCTTGCACTTGGTCCTAAAAACATTTTTGCAAAATTTGCATTTATTATATAGTAACACACATTTAAACATACAAAGTCAATGTTTCTTATTTAAATTCACTTGAAATTTTTTTCTAATATCACATAAAATGAATACACAATACCAAAATTTTACTATAAAAATAGGAGCATGAAGTAATTAATACTTGCAAAACATCACTGAAAAAATATTATTTCCAATGATGGATAGATTTTATTTGAACTTACCTGCCCTGACACTGTAACCACTCCTAATTCTACTAGGTATGACTTTGACAGAGCTTCCACTTTATCTGTGTCACCAGGTTGGAGCAACTGTTGACCAATAAAATAGTAAGAAAAAAGCTGTATAAATATTTCAGTGCTAAAAACAAAGTCACTATTATTCTCTCTCTCTCTCTCTCTCTCTCTCTCTCTCTCTCTCTCTCTCTCTCTCTCTCATAAAAGGAGCTATGGCTAGACCTCAACAGACCAAACAAACAAAAAAAAAAAAAAAAAACAAGCAGTACAGATTGATGACCATAACATCCCAAGCATCATTATTTCAATCAATATTATTTTTTCCAACGGATGTAAATCTTTTTGAAGCAGAACAATGTGAGTCTATTGGATTAATTTTAACAGGAAAAGCATTAAGATGTCAAACAAATACCCTGTATATCTTTGAAACAGTTATTTTCATTCTTCCTTTCCTAAAAAAATGGCCGCTTACTACAAACTCATGATCCAACCTGAAGTTAAAAAAAATTATCATAGCTGGTAATTTTCTCTTACTTTGAAATATATAAGACAATATTGAATAAGTAAATACTCCTTAAGCAATAGACAAAATGACTACTTTAAAAAAGACTTCTGATAACCTCTACATAAAGTATTTTTCACTTGCCTAAAGCCCATTTCAGTGAGGAACTGCACCAAATTATCTGAGGTACCAACATCAATGCTACTTCTCACAAGTGTATGTTTGCTTCTGTCCCCAAAATCGGGCTCACCAACATATCGCAAAAGCCTGAAAAATAAAAAAAGATTATATACGATATCAGCAAAAAACTTTCAAAATGTTTTTAAAATTCTGACAATAGTTGGTAAATGCTATATACTACCTGAAATATTAAGCCTCCAAAATAAGCTCCATTTACAAACTCTAAAAACTAGAATGATTTTTTTCTGGCAACACTGTGAGACTAACAAATACATGCTTTCTAGTATGTATCCTAAACAATGCATGTGACTGGTAAATGTAAAATCATTATCATGACTGTATGTAAAAGACAGGGTATTTACCATGGTGCTTCTGGGTCATCAAGTGCCCGTCTGGCTCTGAGTTGTAACACATTATTTGCATTGGTGCCTGCAAAAAATAACTCAAAGTACTTTAAAGACATTATCCAATACTGTACAAATATTCTTTTGAAATTCAATTGTAATTCTTTTGGTTTCAGCTGTGAGATTGGACAGCATTATTGAGGAATATTAATTTCATTGAGGCAGAAAGAGTTTGAGATCATAAAATATACCAGACTTAGAAGTACCAGGGAATTGTTAGTGAAGGCATTTTTACAACCGTTTCAGTTACCAATTGTATAAACCATTTCATGGTCTTGGAATTTTTCAATTCCTCCAATGTTATCGCAAATGCCTCTCAATCTATGGAGAAGAATGTCTCTGGATGCATCTAATACACTGCCTTGAAGAAAATATTCTTGTAATGGGACAATCTTCTTGTTCATGGCTGCTAACATGCTTTCCATCTTGAATGGTCTTGTTTTCAATAAACTGATAAAGAATTTGATGGGGGAATCCAAAGCAGGTGACACACAAATATAATTTTTTTAACCGTGAGGCAAATATTGTAAGCACTGGATGGGAGATAATACACTCTTCTAAGGTCTAGGTTAACCTTGCTAAGAATCCTCGTTTTCTCCCTGGTCCTGGTCTACAGCAGAGTCACGCACATTTCAAACTAGCGTGGGTGCATTTTAAGGCTTAGATTAATAATGCTGTAGGCTTCTATCAACAAACACTGCTTTAAGTCACTTCAGGGTTAGGTTCGTCCACTGTTGTAATAATGTGTCCTACTTTCAAGCTCCTCTTGCCTAAAATGATATAAGAAAGCGCCGATTAAACATCTGGAGCAATTGTTAATTGTGATCACAGTTTTATCAAAAATAATTAATAAATAATTCTGTGTGATTATTTCTACATTTTTATAAATAAAATTTAAATAATTCGACTGATTTCCAGCTATTTATATTAAAATTAAGCTTTAAGGCAAAGACTGTAATAATGGTTTGGTACAAGATTACTGCTCCCGAGTGAAAACATTGATGATCAAAAGAGGGCGCCACATATGACGTCACGATTAGCCAATTAGAAATTAGTATTCCAGTCACATGATATGGGAGCCGTTTGAATGTAAAGAACATTAAAACATACATTGAGGTGAACTGGAGTTAGTTATTATTTTCTGATCACACTTGTGGCAGACTGCTATTTATAAAGGTAGGGACATTTCCAAGTATTTTATAATCTACTGAACACCTTACACCTTCATAACGTTGCTGTCTTGTCTTTATTTTATGCTTTTGCATCCTCCTGTCAGTGCTGACATTACACTGACACTGACACAATATAGACAGGGCATCTGCATAATTTCCCATCTCTGATCTTAGTTTAATGACAGTTTCACAAGAAGTACTCAGATAATCAGAAATCAGTTATAAAATGTGTCAGTATACTTAATCAAACTATTTGCATTGCTTTGCTAATATGTCACCAAATGCTGCCTATTTAGTATGATAATTATGAAATGACTAAGTATTAATAATGATCAGACAGTATCAATGGTTAGTGATTAATACTATCGCAGACTGTTCTGTGAACATAGTGCATATGTTTTAAAAGAAAGTTTAATACTTGTATGTATCACAATAAATATGCTTACTGTCAAATATGCAAAAGTTAGTATGATACTACTGGTAGTTGACTGTATTGTTTAGGACTAGGGAGCAAGAGAGCAATGGATTGATAAACATGACATGAGTGTCGTTGTTACCCTGGAATGTAATTAATGGTGAAAGGAGTTCACAGATTTATTTTCATAATACCACAGACCTCAAATTTGACTTCTAGAAAGCCAAATGCTTAAGTGTGAATATAAACTGTCTGAATTTTCAAGATATCTCATTAATTTAGATAAAAATTAGACCCTTGTTTGCCAATTTTTCAAGATATCATTTTCAAAAATGAGTCAAAAATTGCCCAACTTGATTTTTAGATCCTAAATGTTGTCAATTATAATGGTCATATAATAATTATAGGATCTGACCATGAACACACAGCTTTAAATTTGGTTCTAGGGTTTTCCCAAGCAGGGAAATACAGTACTAGTATGTATATAAAATGGGCAAAGTGAAGGGATTTTGGTCAACAGGAACATGTAATATGAGAAAATACAAATTGATACAATGTATCTTCTAAAACATGAGCATCAAAACTTTATACCCAACATAGGCTTAATGGGGAAAACAGGAAAGGGCTGACAAACAGATTTAAAAAACACACACACACACACACATTTGAGTTGAACTAACCACAGATGAGTTATGAAGAGTGTCAGCAAAGGAGGATCAGGTTAGCCAGTTTTCTGTCTCCAGCATTCCTATTTGTATTTTTCATGTATACATGTATAATAGTAAACATGCTACAGGCAGAGAGGAAGTCATTATAACAAGGTGAACACAACACATACTTGAAACTTTGTTGTTGATTATGGGAATTGATAAGTGCAAGGATTAAATTGGATGAATCAGTTACCACAGCAAGTACTTAATATACTTATGATAGGGTGCTAGTACATTTGTTAGGGACCATTCCCACAGATATTTTGACCAACCTCCCTGGCTAGTCTTACTAAATTGCTATCAATGTAACCGACTTAAATGTCTGTCGCACCTAGTAAAGCTGTTAGGGGATAATTATCTTTACCCTGAGCTGATTCGGTAGGCCTGATAGACTTTTAAGCAGGTTCATCATCATTGCTCTTCGTCCCGCGTGGGACATAAGGCCACAGTCACTTCTTTCCCTTTGACCCTGTCTCTGGCTACGTGCTGGGCCTGTCCCCATGTAAGGTCCCCCTCCCTCAGCTCTGCCATCACTGTTCGGCGCCAGGTGGTCTTGGGCCTTCCTCTCTTTCTTTTTCCGGGTGGTGTCCATCTCAGAGCTACCTTTGGTACTCGGTTCTCGTCCATCCTAAGTACATGGCCGAGCCATTTAAATCGCCGTCGCTTGATCTGCCCTACAATACTCTGGCTCCCTGTCAGTATGTACAGGTCATGATTGGAGATCTTATTTGGCCAGAATATGCGGCAGATCCTGCGGAGACACCTGTTATGGAAGGACTCTACTCTGCTCATGTCAGACTTTGTAACTCTCCAACATTCAGACCCGTAGAGCAGAACAGACTTCACATTGCTGTTGTAAAGATGGACTTTGGTGTGTAAGCTGTACTGCTCTGACTTCCAGATTGTGCGGAGTCTAGCGAATGAACTCTGGGCCTTGCCAAGTCTTGCCCTGATGTCCTTCTGAGCCCCGTTGTCTTTGCTGATTAGACTGCCCAGATATGTGAAGTCATCGACAGACTCAAGTGGTTTCCCACTGACGGTGATAGGTGCTGTCATACTGTTGTTAATGCACATGACCTGGGTTTTGGTGGTGCTGATGACAAGTCCCGCTTGTGCAGCAAAGCTACTCAGACGGTCAGTCTTCTCCTGGAGATGGCTGTGTTTGGAGGACAGGAGGGCAAGGTCATCGGCAAAGTCAAGGTCTTCTAGCTGGGATAGAAGAGTCCATTGGATGCCTCTGGGTTTGTCGGATGTTGTCTTTCTAACGACCCAATCGATGGTTACAAGGAAGAGAATTGGGGACAAGATACAGCCAGATACACCTGAATCCACTGGGAACCACTCCGTCAGGGTATTGTCCAAGATAACACTACATTGGAAGTGGTTGTAAAACATGCTGATTAGAGTGGTAATCTTAGGTGGTACACCATATGACAGCAGTATTTTCCACAATGTCTCCCGGTGCACACTGTCAAAGGCTTTCTTGAAGTCGACAAAGTTGATGTAAAGAGGCGTGTTCCACTCCAGGCACTGCTCGATGATGTTGCGCAGGGCGAAGATCTGGTCAATGCATCCCCTGCCTTTCCGGAAACCTGCTTGCTCCTCTCTGAGTCTGGAGTCAATGGCTCGGTCAATACGCTTCAGCAGAACTCGACAGAAGATCTTGCTGGGGATGGATAGGAGAGTGATCCCACGCCAGTTGTCACATTCGTGGAGGTTGCCTTTCTTGGGGAGCTTTACAATGAGACCCTTTGTCCAATCGTCTGGTATCGTGTCCTTCTCCCAGATGGTACTGAAAAGGTCAGTCAGCAAGTTTGTGGCCATGTCAACATCAGCTTTCAGCATTTCTGCATGGATGTTGTCAATGCCAGAAGCTTTGCCGTTTTTCATAACAATGATAGCATTCCTGACTTCCTCCCTGGTGGGCGGATCTGTGTTGATGTCCAGGATACCATCTGTGGGTGTGAGATTAGCTGGTTCACTGGGGTCAGGGTGGTTAAGGACCTCCTTGAAGTGCTGAACCCACCGTGCTGCTTGCTCACGCTCTGTGGACAGAGTGTTACTGTTCCTGTCTTTCACCGGAGCAGAATGGTTGTTGTAGTGGCTTCCACTAAGCTGTTTGGTGATCTTGTAGACAGTACCCATGTCACCTTGTGCTGCAGCCTGTTCAGCCTCACTAGCTAGCTTTTCCACAAGGGCTCTCTTGTCACTCCTAGCACTTTTCTTCACCTCCTTATCCTTGCTCTTGTAGGCTGCTCTGTCTTGTTCTACGAGCCTAGGTGATTTGGTATTCAACAGCTTCTCTTTCAGGATTCTCCTTTCATCAATAAGCTTCCATGTTTCTGGTGTTAGCCATTCCTTGTTCTTCTTCTTCTTGAAGCCAAGGACTGCTTCTGCTGTGGTGCAGTAAGTACTCTTGATGGTATCCCATTTCTGGCTGACATTGTCTGCTTCAATCCTATCTTCTCCTGCTAGAGCGCTGAAACGGTTCTTCAGCTCGAGAACAAATGCAGTCTTGGTACGAGGACACTTGAGTTTGGAGATGTCCAGTTGTTTCCGCTTCCGTTGTTGACTCTGTGGAATGACCTTCCAGAGTTTCAGCCTGATGGAGGAGGCGACAAGGAAGTGGTCACTGTTGGCATCAGCTCCCCGGTAAACTCGAACATCTTTAAGGGACTTTCGCCACTTGCCATTGATAATGATGTGGTCGATCTGGTTTGTTGTGGTTCCATCAGGTGATGTCCAAGTGAGCTTATGAATGGTCTTGTGCGGGAAAATGGTTCCTCCAACGACCAGCCTGTTGTTCATACAGAAGTCAACCAGGTGTTCACCGTTCTCATTCATCACCCCACATCCATGGGGTCCCATCGCTCTCTCAGAGTTAGAATTGTCAGCTCCCACTTTTGCATTAAGGTCACCAATGACTAGGAGTAGGTCGTGCTGTGGGACTCTTGATACTGCCACTTGTAGTTGCTAATACCAGTCATCCTTCACATCAGCCTCAGCGTCGTTAGTTGGTGCGTAGCACTGAATGATAGTGAGCTTACAGTACTTTGAGTCAAAACGCGCTTTAACAATCCGCTCACTGATAGGCTCCCATTCCATGAGAGTTCTGGCCTTCTCTCTCGAGAGAATGATGGCTACCCCATGACTGTGTGTGCTCTCGTGTCCAGAGTACAGGATAAGTGAGCCGTCATTTGTCGTGAGACGTCCTGATCCTATCCAACGGCATTCGCTGATACCCAGGATGTCTAGTCGGTATCTCTTCATCTCATTGATAACTTGAGCTGTTTTGGAGGTCTCAAACATGGTGCGGACATTCCATGCCCCAACACGAAGGATGGATTTGGGCCCCAGTGCATCCGACTTCGCACTCCTGACTTCCAGTGGTGGGCTTTCATCAGAAATGGTCATAGTGTCGTGGTCTTGACTCGAATACACTGAGGTCCTAGTTGAAGTAGAAGTTTTTGTGGTTTCTGTAACATTAATTTGAACCGGGAGGGTTGTTGGCCCCCCGCGGTAGGTTTTATGTCAGGGTTTTCCTTCCCATAGCCAGAGCCTCGTTAGCCTGGGCCCGCTAGGACCTAGTTTCCAGGGTGTACCACGGGGAGGAGAGATTGACTTGAGTGATCTACGGGTCACCGGCAAGCTACTTAAATTTCACCTTTCGCCCTTATGGACTAGCCAGCCTTAACAACACTGGATGTGAAGCCAAGCACATGAACACCCCTACACCCCTTTAAGCAGGTTAGTTGATAGCTATTTAGTGAGAATCCCCAGGGAGTTAGACCGATCCAGATGGATTGATCTAGGCATGGGATCCCAGTCTTAGATATTTTTGGTTATGATGGGGTGCTAGTGCATTTGTTAGATGTTTCTGAAAATAAAAGATTAATGTCACCTTTATTTTACCTATATTTAAAAGATGTAGGCACAACATACTATGAAAAAAATTATATAGTAATAGGGGTACACATTTGTACTATTGGCTATTTTAATCTCTCTCTCTCTCTCTCTCTCTCTCTCTCTCTCTCTCTCTCTCTCTCTCTCACTCACTCACTCACTCACACACACACACACACACACTGTCACACACACAGTTTGAACTGAAGTAAGTCTTGTGTAGCACAGGTGCAGGTATTTACTTTCTACTTCAAACTGATAACATCTCAAATATTGACACATTTCTGTGTTAATAAGGTATGGATAGTGTTTCAGATTTGATACATTACCATGAATGTTATGTATCTGTTGAGTAATTACTGTCTACATTTATTATCAAACCATTCATCTCCTTTCGCTGACCGAATGTATGCATAGGTTTCAAGAGCATATCTTTTAGTTTTATTCAATGATATACATTTGTAAATGTCAGTTCAAGCAAGTTGGAATGTTCCAAGATTGATGGGGTGTTTTTGTGTAGCTGATGTGACTCTACCCCCTCTAGAATGGTGCAGGACTCCAGCATACAGTTAGCTGCTTTCTTCCCATCAATCACACACTGATACTGTCTACAAAGATAATGTCACAGCCAGGGGGTCAGCAAGGGTCATCATCATTATTAGTATGAAGTATGTCTTATGGCTGAGTAGTTATTTTTCTGTGCATATGGACAGACCTCTGCATTAATTATTTGTTACGCTGGGGAAAACTACAAACACAGGGTTCAACATTTCAGCTTAAAGCCCATTAAGTGGGGTTACTTTACAGATAAAAACAATGGCTCAGGGGTCAACTTTACATGGTTAGGAGTAGTTATTCAGTTACACTCAGAAGCAATTGGATTAAAAGAATAATGACAACTGAATCATTTAATTAAAAATGGAATTGAAAAGGCATTAGCTGTTGTCTTGCCACACTACTGTACATACAGTTGCAATAGAGGAGTTGGTGATGAAGATGATCTCAGTGTTGGGTATGAATTCAATTATAGTTCAGTATTGTCAGGTCTAGATAAAGACATGTATCTAGATCTTGTCTGCCTAGGTTCCCAGGTTTCCAGCCAGATTTCTAATAATTTGAAAAAAAGAAAGTTTCGAGCAGAAAACATAATTCAGCAGCTTTTTACCATAAAAAACAAGATTCTTAAAAGGGCAGTTAGTGTATATGATAGTTGTTCATTGGATTTGGGGCTGATCTGAGTGTTTCTATTTACAGGTCCAGTAGGCAGATGCTGCAGTTAAAATGGGGGATGACAGTGAGTGGATGAAATTACCCACAGAGGACAAGGTCACACACAAGGTAAACTGGTATATATACAGTATGTCTTGCCATCAGAGAATTCCAATGTCTTTATTATGTAAAACCAGTCAAGGGTGCACATGTTATATAAATCCATTACACAAATATTATAAATGCAATTTGTTCTGTCTTGTGTACTACCTGATGTCAGAACACATTTTATGACCAGCCTAAAATGATTCGTCTCGAGTTCACGTGTTGACCAAAGAAAACAAAGAAGCCCTTAAGAAAATAATATGTATTGGTTTTTTTTATTCAAAACAAAACTGATCTCTTGCTTAAGTATGGATATATTCTGGTATTATTATTGAACAGGTCACATATTTAGTTCAGAGCCAGTATGTAAAGCCATTTACACCAGTATGTTTGATAATATCAGATTCCTGTATATATATATATATATGTATACAAAGATTATCTGGTGTACATCTTAAGCTTGCATGTAACATTTATTGAACTACGGATGCACTTGACTTCCAGCCTGGCGGTGACTCATGCTGGTTTTATATAGCCATACTTGTCATAGCACCTGGTAGCATGTGGAATAAACTGCCATATGCTCTGCACACAGTGTGTACTACTACTACAGACTGCCAAGTTTAATAATTATACCTTCACCACTAACCATTAGCTTAGATTTATCTCCCTCCTCTTATTCCTTCAGATTTTAAGTTTGGATGGCATTTTTTCTTTTACATTGATAGATTCTGAATCCATGTTATATTGAGATGAATTATAGTACTATTTTAGTGAAGAAACCATTTCTAGGACATTATCCTGATCTATACATGTCTGAATGGTAGCTACTGACCCAAACACAATGAATAGAAAGCTTCCTAGGGAATATAATCAATATAAGATTTACGGCCATTACAGTTGCTGCTCTCTTTGGTTTCCTATGTTTGCATCCTCTGGACACAAAAATGGCAAAGAAGCTAAATGTGTTCTGTTAGAGCTAGCTATAGTGTGTAATCATTTGTTACTTCTGCAAAGGATGACTCAGTTCTTGGGTGATTATTCTGATTACTGAAATCAGTTTCATACTAGACATAGGAAGTCAATCAGAATTGAGCTCTGTTTGATTAATATGTTTGAACTTTGTTTCAATTTTATCCCAAGATCTTGATAAGCTAAACACTTTGCTGCTGAAAAGCAACAAGACAAATGATGTTGAATCTGATGTGTATATGTGCAGACATTTCTGTCTTCTTTTGGTAGAATTTTAATTTTGTGATATCAGCTCAGCTGCTGTCATGTTTTAAATAACAGAATTTTTCTGAAAAGTTCTAGGTATGTGACCAATGGGCAGAGTAAAAATAAAATGTATGATCAGAAATACATGCCAAAAATATAAAGAATAACAATTTGTAGAAAATTACCTATAGTATTTCTTAAATATCCTTGTAATTGTTGGGAGTACAGGCATGTTATTGTATAGGTAATTATACAGAAATCTCTCTTTGAAAGGTATGGAAGGCCCGACTTGCAGGATATGAAGAAGCTGCTAAACAATTTCCAACTCTGGACGAGAAAAGTCCAGAATTTTCAAAGTACCTTGGGCTCCTGAAGAAGTTTGTTATAGATAACAATGCCATAGCACAGGAGAAAGGCCTGGACGCTGTCCTGGCATTTGTAGAGAATGCAGCAGTTGCTGGAAAGTAAGGGCTTTATAATTACAAATATTTGTTATGTTTATAGATTTTTTGAAAATATCTACAGTTGATTCAGAAATCAAGAAAGTTTAAGCAAGATTTAATTTATTCAACAAAAATTTCCTATCAACTTGATTGTATTTATTTGGTTTAGTAAAAAAAAACTGTAAAAGAATGAGACAATAGACGTTCACGTGTCAGTAATCTTTTGGGGTATTTCTTATAATTTTTTTCAATATTCTTAATTTTCTATATATTCTTGAAAGAAACATGTAATGGTGCATTTTTTCTTATCAAACACCGTAAAAAGAATCATTGTTAACTTGAATTTTCACATTAAAATTTTAGAACTACTGGGGAGATTGTGAATGGTTTAGTCACAAAATGTTTCAATGCCAGTAGAGCCAAAACAAAGGAAAGGGCCTTTGAAATTGTCATGATGTACATAGAAATAGAGAAACAAGAAATAGTCATGGTAAGAAGTTGATTGGTCATCATAATCAGTTGTCACTATTATATATGTTTCGCTGTGACATTCAGTTTGTAGTTTGAAACTTAACTCTGGGGCCACCTTCGCATCTTTGTTATTATAATCATTCTATTGCCTGATGTGTAGAATATTTTGTTTTGACATTAAAACATGTTGGATATTTGTTTTTAGCCAATGTATCATTGATTTTGTGAAAAAAGTACTTGTTTGCCTCAAATGAAAAACAGTCTAAACAATGTTAGCATCTACCTTTCTATTACATACAAAGGAAAGAAATCTGAGACATTTGAATTATGAGCTGTGGGTTTGATGTGTTTTCTTAACCTTATTTTAGGAAGAGTTGATGAAGGGACTTGAGAACAAGCAGCCTAAGATAGTTGCAGCATCAGTACAGGCCATTAGAGATGCTGTCAGGTAAAACATACATATGAAGATAAAACAGTTTATTACAAAAAAAGAGATTTGCAGAATAAGATGAGGAATTTCCACATGTTGACTATCAACCAGTAGATAAACTATTGCCTACATCACCTGAGATATGTTTGGTTTTAAGTATGCTTAAAAGTTTTTTTAATTTTATTTTATTAGAACAAGATTTGAGTTGACCCTTAGATTGACTGTACCATAATAACACACTTTCATCAAAAATTTCAGAGATTTTGGTGCTAAATGTTTCACACTGAAGCCAGTAGTAAAGATGATTCCCAAGCTGTTAGAGGACAGAGATAAGAATGTAAGAGAGATGACCAAGTCTTTGACAGTAGAGCTGTACCGCTGGATCGGTGCTGCACTCAAACCACAGCTGGCAAATCTTAAACCTGTACAGGTAAGAGGAGAATTGAGGTAGATAATTGATAATTGCTGTTTTGATATATATATATATATATAAAATATATATATATATATATATATATATATATATATATATATATATATATATATATATATATATATATATATATATATATATATTAAAGGCAGAAAAATATTCGATATTTTTTAGATTGAGCAGATGAGATAAATTAGAGTGTGCAGATTATTATTATTATTATTAATTTAACAATATTTCAGGAACAAATTGTTTTGATAAATATCAGTTCATCAATATAAAGGCTGATCTGAAAAGAGAAAATACATTACTACTTGATAGTTTTGCTTCTGTTTGTTGTCGTTATAGATCACAGAATTGGAAACAGAGTTTGAAAATCTTGCTGGTGAGAAGCCAGTCCAGACCCGCTTCCTGCGTTCCCAAGCAGATCTTAAGGCTAAAATGGAGGCAAAAGCAGCTAGGGGAGGGGGAGAAGAAGAGGGGGAAGATGAGGATGGTATGTGCAAAAATGGTTGTCCACTAAACAAATATATATATTATGGAAATTGTGAGCTTACATACGTGTAGCATCATGAAACCACACTCAAAAAAGCAAACTATTCAGTCTGGAATGAGGAATAAATTTTCAGTATATTGTTTTGTATGTCAAGAAGCATTTGTGAATTGATCGTACCTATAGTGTCTTGATGTTTGTATGTTGTTTATGTATGATCTAACATTTCAGATGAGGAGGCTGCAGAAGAAATTGATCCATATGAGCTGATGACAGCAGTAGATATATTGTCCAAGTTGCCAAAGGATTTTTATGAGAAGATTGTAAGTACAGTTATTTAGATCATATTTGTATCTTTTTCAAGTACAGTAAGCTGCTGTGTGCAGGACTTCAGGACTTAGAACTTATTTCCCTCTGGTAGATGAAAATAAAACCACACAGTGAAGTTGTAAAATGCAATTTTTATTTGCATGTTTTCCCAACTAGAGATTTTTTTCCCAGTATTCTTTTCTCACTGGTCTTTCTCATGACAGAAAGTAACCATTGCATTTCTTTTCACAGGAGGCCAAGAAATGGCAAGAGAGAAGAGAGGCCCTAGATGCTGTCCACAAGCTGCTAGAGAGCCCCAAGCTGGAGAATGGGGATTATAGGGACCTTGTGAGAGCACTGAGGAAGGTCAGCAGAGCACACTAACTTTTTTGATAAAACTGAATTCTTTTATGATTTTAAAGAAAATAAACCAAAGAGTGCTTTCAAAACAACTAAGATGGCTTTGCACATATATAGGAAAAGGTCTGATTAAAATTTATATTAAGATATATTGGCCTGTTGACTTGAAATTGAAGCAATTGTTGAGCCTTGTTTTTTTTTTTTTTTCTTTTTGTGTTTTAGGTTGTGGCCAAAGACACCAATGTGCTTCTAGTAACAATAGCTGCACAGTGTTTAGCAAATTTAGGAAAAGGTCTGAGGAAAAAGTTCCAGCCATTTGCACATGAGGTATACCATCTTGGTTTCTAGCTTTTGATGATTGATGTGGAATTTTATTGAAGTATTAAAAAAATTCCATAAAAAAAATAAAACCTGATTTAAAATTGAAATTGTTAAAAGGTTATTAAGGCGTTTTATGTTTTAACTGTGATTTCAGGTCATTCAAACTGCTCTAGAGAAGTTCAAGGAGAAGAAAGTGACTGCAGTAGCTGCCTTGAGAGAGATGGTGGATGCAGCATCTGATGCAGTAAGTCCCTGTGGAATTCATTGTTGGTTTGTGATATATCATTGCACCTGCTGAACATTAGATTAGTGTCATCAATTCACATTACCTAAATGAAAGATATTTATAAGACGTACATTTCATACAGGCATACAGGTCATAAGCTGTTTCTTTCCAGACTACCCTTGAAGTGGTCAGCGAAGATTGTTTGACAGCCTTGGAAAACAAAAATCCCCAGATTAAGGCAGAGACAGCCCGGTTCATTGCCAGATGGTTTACAAAGTGCACTCCAACTACCCTGCCAAAGAAGATGTTAAAACTTTATTGTGCTACACTTTGTAAGGTAAGTTACTGCAGTTTCCATTAAAAGAGATCTCAAGGACCCCCCTTTAGGTCCAAGTATCAGTCTTATCAATAAAACATCAAAAGATGATCTTTACGTGTAGAAAAGAATGGCAGAAAGTAAATATCATTTGTATCTATATATCGCCAATTAGATGGGTTTGAAGTATTCTGGATTCACATTGCTCTCAATTCTTGATGTCAACTCTTACAAGCACAAGAAGACATGTATTACTGTCAGATCACTTCTATTTCTTCTATATTTGTAGACCATCAATGACACTACCCCAGATGTAAGAGAGGCGTCATTTGAAGCCCTGGGGACAGCCATGAGGGTGGTTGGAGAGAAGCCACTCACACCTTTCCTAGCAGATGTGGATCACATCAAGTTAGATAAGGTCTGGATAAGTTGCTTGTCCAAATAGAATGTGGGACATATTTTTGGCTCTTCTGTTCATATTAGTATTTTTAACCCAGTCCTAATGCACTAATTTTCTATAGCCAATAACAATTGGAGCACGGAATTTAGTCAATAAGTTTCATTGTTTATGTTCTTCAGATCAAGGAGTGCTGCGAGAAGGCAGTGCTTGTGAACATGAAGGGTGGTGGTGCTAAACCTCCCAGCAAGGCTGTGCCACCAGCAGCAGCACCAGCCAGCAAGGCTTCTGCACCACCAGCAAAGGCAGCTAGCACCAGTAAACCTGCAGAAAAGGTTAGGGATTAAACTTGGCTTAAACATTTAAAAGCCACATTTTGTTTCTGTCTGATGAATATTGATATGTGTATCTGTGTGCTTCTATATTCTCTTCTGTATAGGAAAATCAGATATGAAGATAAAAAATTTTTATAAATTATTTATTGTTTCAGGCTGCAAGCAAACCTACCAAAAAAGCTGCTGGAGGGGTAAGTAATGTTAATGTTGTAAGGTCTATATAAAAGTGTTGTGAATAAGGATGGCATAATGGTAGAAATGTATAATTCATAATGGAGATTACTAAGAAGGATAAAAAGTTTGAGCAAGTAGACTCTGTATGAACATCAGTTTTATTTTGTAAACACATTTGAACATGCATGCTTTCTTTTGCACTGTTTACTGTCAGTTTGTTTATAATAAATATTTATTTACCTGGCATTCTTTTAGCCTCCAAAAAGTGCCGCTGGTAAAAAGGGAGCAGCAAAGAAAGCAACTGGTGGAAAAGAAGGACCCACAGAACAAATGCTCTCTGTAAGCTTTAAATTACATAGGAAAAAAGCAAACCTTACACTTTGTACAGCTAATTATGTTCTTTGCTGATTACTATAACAATTGTGTACATAGATTTGATACTATATTAGTCTAATATTGATGTTAAGTTTCTAACATATGTATTAGTTTGACTCCCTACATAAATTTGAAAAAACAAAATGCCTGTCACCATTGATGACTAGCAAGTTTATATTTAGGATGAAGCCGTGGAGGAGAAAGGCTCTGCACTGTTAACAGCAGAGTTACTCACCAACCTGGCCAGTTCTAATTGGAAGGAGAGGCTGGCTGCCACCGAGAAGATGAGAGATGTCATCACAGGCTTGACCAGAGATGATATACCTACCCAGGTCTGTGTCAGGGTGCTGAGTAAAAAACCAGGACTCAAGGATACCAACTTCCAGGTGAGTGTTATTATGAACATAATGATTAATTAATAACCTTCCTGATTTGCTTTCTTTCTTTCTTTCTTTCTTTCTTTCTTTCTTCATCAAGTTATTCTTTATTTTTTGATAAAAAAGTGGAAGGTATGTTGAAAATATAGAATCACACAGTGAGGTTTTTACATTAATGAGGAATGAAATAATGTTTGAAGCATTTTGAGCCAAAGGGGTTGATATCACATCTGTTCACTTGTCCTTCAGGTCTTAGGAGTGAAACTGAATCTGGTCAGCCACCTGGCAATGAACTCCAAGTTCAGCCAGACCTCTGCCCAGTGTATCCTGGGAGACATGGTGGACAAGGTGGGGGATGTGAAGAATGGGGGCACCTGTCAGGAGGCTCTTAGCTGTATAGCAGAGGCCACATCACTGGAGTTTGTGGCACAGGAGGTGAGAGGATGTGACCACAGTATAAGTTGGCACTAAAGTAAATATCCACACAATGCAAAGCAATCACTGATCAGTGTCATTCTTTACCACAAAATGTATTGAATCGTTTACGTCAGTCTGATAATTTTGTCAGAGCTTGAGAACCCACTTTTACATTCACTTAGTTCTCTTTTTAGGTAATGAAACTTTGCCTTTGCATCTTTTAGGTAATGAAACTAGCCTTTGCTCAAAAGAATCCCAAGAACCAATCTGAGGCACTGAACTGGCTTGCCAAGGCAGTCAAGGAGTTTGGATTTAAGTGAGGAAATTTGATTTTAGTTTCCATATGAATAATAAAATAATGTAATATATCTATTGCACTCTTCATAGCTATAATATAATTGTTAATAGTGTGTATTGGTTTGTCAAAGCCAGTGTTTTGAGTATTTTCTTTATTTTTTTAGAATCAATGTTAAACCTGTGATAGAAGTACTCAAGAAGGCCTTTGCAGCTACAAACCCAGTATGTACATTTTATACAGTTTAGATTTCATATTTTTAGAGAAGTATGTAACACTTTTTGTTAAAAAATATATGACGTAACGAGATGAAGGATAACAAATAATGAAATTATATATGCTTTGGTGGTAGGGTGTTGGAGGTACCATGCTATCTGTATTGCTAACAATGATTTTATTTTATAGTGACATTAATCTGGTATATGAGATATCTAGTGCCATATCTATTTTGACCTAAGTGTCTTGTTACTTAAAAACCACATCATGCTCTTCCTCAGGCTGTGAGAACCTCTGCTATTGCCTTTGTAGCTGTGGCACACATGTATATGGGACCTACACTCAGGACTTTGTTTGAGGATGAGAAACCTGCTCTCTTACAACAGATTGATGATGAGATTGCCAAGGTGATACGTCAACATGAGCTAAAAATATGAAAAACTTTGGCTTCTAAAAGTCTTTGCAGGATAGATGTGATATTAATGCATTTTAAATGTTACTTTGGCTAAGATCTTAAATAACAGTATTCTAGACATGAAATGTATCAGAGCTGAATTATGTTTCATGTATTTGCAATGTGATGTTAACTATTCCACCTTTGATGTCTAGGTTCAAGGAGAGAAGCCTCCAGCACCTACCAGAGGCACCACTCCAAAAGACAAGGGTGGTGATGATGATGAGGAGGAGGAGGAAGAAGGAGAGGAGCAGGCAGATGTGGCAGATTTGGTCCCTAGGAATGACATCAGGTAAGCACGGGATACAGGTACAGATATTGATATACTAGTATGATAAAGAATATGGCAGTGATAATTTGTGTGGTCTAGCTGGTCTCACAGTATCAAATTTTGATTGTGCTGAAAAAGTTAAATGTGATTGCACATTTAGAGGAAGGAAGATTAAATGTACGATGACTAAAAAGAATGGAATAGTTCATAATGATGGCAGAATTTCCAAAATAATGTAGTCACCAAAATATGAATTCACTTCATTTTTTCCCCCACAGTGATAAAATCACAGAGGAAATTGTGACAGAGATGGCAGACAAAAACTGGAAGATCAGAAATGAGGCTCTTCAGAAGGTTGCTGCCATAATCAATGAGGCCAAGTTCATCACTCCAAACTTGGGCAGTCTCCCAGAGGCCTTGAAGGCAAGACTAGGAGATTCCAACAAGATCTTGGTGAGTGCACATGATTGTGTGCTGTATCAGAGAGCCCACACAGCTTCAGAGGGCTGGCAAACTCATGAAATTTGATTTTTAAAAGAGACAAAAAAAAAAACATTTTGGCTTGTGTAGCAAGTGTTAAGTGCATGTTTTTAAAGAAAACGGTTTAATAAGTCAAATAGATAAAAGAGCATATCATTATAATAAACCTGTTTTATTTACTCGTCAGGTTTCCACTTGCCTTACTATCTGTCAAACTCTGGCCACTGCTATTGGTCCCAAAATCAAACAGCATGTGCGCATTATCGGGCCAGGGATGGTAGGATGCTTTGGAGATTCCAAGGTAAGAAATGTAAAATGGAAAAATATATTTTTATACGGACCTTTGGTCTGGTATTCAAATCCTGTTTCTCTGACACCTGGGTTTACAGGTGTAAAGAAATTGTAAATTTTGTCGATATGTGTTAGATTCTGTCACCAAGTGATATGCTGGAACTGTTCACTTGGAGTGTTAGTGAGAAGTGTTCTAGGCATATCAGGAAAGGGAAACGGTGTATTATTTGACATACATACTGATAGAAAGTACTCGCATTTTGCTAAAAAAAACATCCCTAAAACCAAATAAAGTTTTATTGCCATGGTCACATAACATCTCTATGTATGTTTATTCCATCAATCGACTTGACACTATATAGAACATTTTGATCCATATGTGTAGCCCCAGCTGAGAGCAGCCACAGGGACTGCACTGGATGCCTGGGTGGAGCAATGCACTTTGCTTCCTTTCTTGGAGGGAGAGATCTTCAGTGAGCATCTGAAGAAAGGAAATCCAAATCTCAAGACAGAGGTGACTTTAGTGTTGTATTGTTTGATAATGTTGTGGGTGATATCCATGGAACTTTTTCTGCTTTTTATTTGTTATATGCATGGAGAAGTATAAGCATCAGGAATTTTTTTCATATTCTACTAAAATCTGTTTTGTCTATTTTTATGCCTCTAACAATAATCATACTAATGTAACTTTTCACAAAACAGAGAAGGATTGTTGGAGCATATAATCGTTATCTATGAAAGTTCATGTGCCTTTGAACAGTTATTTTTGCATTGAGATATACTCTTATGAGTCTTCATGTTTCAAATATATATACTTTCTCATTGCATTGACTCCAGCTGCTTGGATGGTTGGCCACAAAGTTGCCCAGCTGCAAGAAGGTGCCCAAAGACAACAAGGAGGAGCTCCTGGCTTGCATCTCCTCCATTCTCACCTGTCTGGAGGACAGGAATGCTGGGGTGCGCACCAAGGCTCAGGAGGCCCTAGTCCCTTTCATGATCCACACAGGCTACGATGCCTTCCTCAAGGCCTGCAATTCATTGCCTGTAAGTTAAGTCCCTGGTACTGACATGTGGCCTTACATTTGAGTGCACAAAAATTGTGTAATTCTTAACTTAAATATCCTTGGTAGCTGATCACAGTTGTAATGTTGTTAGTATATTATATTGTACAAGGTTATGATAATCTACCAATCTATCTGTACCTACCAGTAAAGAAATTAATTATTGAATTGATAACTTAATATTGCAAAGCTTCTAGTGTGTGATGCAAAAGCTCTTGTCAACTGAAACCTTTCAGAATTTTAGAAAAGTGTAGTTCTTCACAGTTTCAATTCAAGAAAAATACTTTATTTTCTATAACTTCTAAGGCATCTTCCAAAGAACCAGTGAAGGCTCAGTTAGATAAGGCTAGGGAAAACCTTCCCGCAAAACCGCCACCTAAAAGCAAGAGCACAACATCTGCTGCCCCTACACCAGTAGCAGCACCACCTGAGGATGATGAGCCTGAGCCTGCACCATCAGCACCCAAGGCAGCAGCCAAGTCTCCGCCTAAAGCTGAAGGCAAGCCAAAGGCTGGAGGCAAGATTGTAGTCAGAGGAATGAAGGTGAATTTCATTGATTTCCCCATAAGCTGATACACTTTAGTTGATAACTGTGGTGTTTGCCGCCCTTTTATATTGCATCAGTGTAATGTATAAGATTTTCTCTTGTTTTAGAATGAAATCTGTAATAAATTTGAGTAGTTGAAAAAGATTATTTCCAGAACACCAGGCTTTTTATTTTCACCCATATATATATATATATATATATATATATATATATATATATATATATATATATATATATATATATATATATATATATATATATATATATATATATATATATATTTGTTTTCTAGACATTTGTCTTTTTGTGATTTTAGAAAGGACCAGCTGCTGGAAAGAGCAGTAAAAAAGACGTGGAAGTTGACCTGAGTCCACCCCTTACCATTGGCTCCTCCAAAGAGAAGAGAATGAAGGATGAGAAAAACTTGAAGGTATTGTTTTACTAAAATAATGCAAGATTTTTAATAATGAATGGGAAAGAAGTTGGTTTCAAACTTTATCACCTTGAACAATTCTTAAATATCATATGTCAGGGTTTGATTCTAAAATTACCATCAGTTTTTGAATTGTTATATAACATAATATTCTTATTAAGCCTAAGTTTCAGCACTGTTTCAGTATTAATGGAAATGCATGCTCACAGTGCAACTTGTGTTTTCAGACATTGAAATGGAACTTTACCTCTCCACTGCCTGAATTTGTTGAGCAGCTGAAGAAGGATATGGAACAAAACGTGAACAAGACATTGATGGATCAGATGTTTAACAAAGACTTTAAACAACATATCAAAGCTTTGGACACCTTAATAAAAGTATGGTTCCATTGGTTTTGTTGTCAGATACATTTACATGTTTTGTCCACATTTTCACTATCTCACTGAGATTATTACTCTTAAAGGCTTAACTGAACAAAGATCCCTGAGATATAAAGTCCATATAATTTGACTGCCATAAACAATAAAAAATCCAATAAAAAATACAGGCACATGCTTTTCATAAAGATGAGCTCCTCCGTAATTTATATTTATGATTCAAAACAATGAAATGTTGATAGTTCACTTTAATCAATTTATTTTCAGGCAGTTGAAGAACATCGTGATGCCACTGTGGCCAACCTTGACCTAATCCTCCGCTGGATGACCTTGAGGTTCTTTGAGACTAATCCCACTGTCCACATCAAGGCCCTGGAGTACCTGGCCTCTGTGTTCAGTCTACTGGCAGAGGAGGACTACCACCTTCTGGAGTTTGAAGCCTATGCCTTTGTGCCATACTTGATTCTTAAGGTGAATATTCTACTTTTCTCATTTGATATTTTTAAAATAATAATAATAATAATAATAATAATAATAATAATAATAATAATAATAATAATACAGTAATAATGAATTTTTAGTTGCTAATTGCTTCCTGTTATACAAAGCAAATGTTGGCATGCAAAGAAAACTGTGGCAAACACAATTCTTACTGAATAGTAATGATTTAATTCTTTACATTTAAATTAATTATTTACATTTTAACTAATAAAGGAAGGTAGAATCAAAGATCGTTAACAGATAAACATGTCTGTTTTCCTAGGTTGGAGATAAGAATGAAAACATAAGGCGAGGTGTGAGGAATATATTCAAACTGATTTGTAAAATATACCCAGCCAGCAAAATGTTTAGTTTTATCCTGGATGGGTTGAAAAGCAAGAATTCTAAACAGAGAACAGGTACGTCAATTTCTTTCAAACATAAGTATTTTAAGTTGAATCTTTGAATCTATAAAATTGTTATATGCAGTCTTACTGTCCTTGACCCAGCTGAGAACTCGGGGCTAATGACCTCTATAACTAATTGTGTTCCAGAGTGTCTAGAAGAACTGGGCAGTCTGATAGAAGTGTATGGCATCAATGTGTGTCAGCCGTCCCCAGCACAGGCCCTGAAGCTGATAGCAGGCCAGATCAGTGACAGGGACAACAGTGTCAGGTCTGCAGCCCTCAACACGGCAGTAGAGGCATATGTCATCCTGGGGGAAAGTGTGTTCAAGTATATTGGGAATGTAAGTTGACACCATGGTGCTATCAGAGAGGGTGCTACTTTTTTTTATCATGTGTGTCAAAGTCAGTTCAGTTCAAAAGAGGCTAGCTTTGACAGCAAATTGGTGTGGTTAGACTCATATCAAGACAGTATGGCATTTATGACACAAGATAGGATGCTTTTAGGGTCTTAAGTCTGGCCTTGAATATGGAATTGGCACTTGCTATTATGTGACCTGTATTATATGAAAGTAATATAGGATATGTTTTCCAGAGATGGACCACTGTATTCTATTTCATCACAATACCGTTCTATTTCAGTTACCCGATAAAGAGCAGGCAATGTTGGAGGAGAGGATCAAAAGGTCCAACAAGAATAGACCTGCTACAGCACAGCAACCACAGCCAGTGAAGACCTCTCCAGACAGGGAGAGACCCCAGACTGCACCTGCTGCTGCCTCCAAGGCCAAGTAGGTCACACAGTTCGGCAGTATGATGTTGGGGAAGA